AACATAAACATCTTCTAACACTGCTTCTTCAACACAGACACGCCCAGGCCGTGGTGTTTTGTGGAAGAGCCACACTGGGGATGTGCCTGCAACCAAGGTACATGCCCTTGACTGGAATTGAACCTGGGACCCTTCGGCAGGCCAACACTCTATCCACTGAGCCAAACTGGTTAGGGCAATAAAAAATAAATTAATAAATTAATAAATTTTAAAAAAGCTTAAACCACAGGGCGCATCACAGAGCATCCTCACACCAATAACCCAATCCCCAGCCCCAGAGAGTCTCCAGGCAAAATCCCATTTCTCCAGCCCAGTGTGTGATGCTGGCCAGGGCTGGAGCACACACAGAGGGAAGATCCCGCTCCGCGAAGGAAGGTACACGGTGTGATTGGAAGTCCTCACCAGTCATTGCCAGGTGACCACAACCCACACGGAGGTCAACCGGGGTGCCGCGTCCCCCGGGGGCCTGGGGGAGATGACCTCACCCCCGGACACAGCTGGCTTCCCCAGAAGGGAGCGCCTGAGCCATGACTGTCTGAAGCCCATGTTCATGGCTCAGACTGGAAACACACCAGCAAGGATTTATGTCCTGCCTGAGAAGCGTACAATGTGGCCACCGCGGACGGAGGCCAGGACTGGGGAGGGTCAGGGAACGGGGAGGAAGACAGAGTGTTTGATCCGTCCTGCTGCTCCCGCCCAGAGCATCCTCGCCTGCCAACATCTGGATGGCCAACTGGAACGACGCGAAATGTCAGGAACATCTGAGAGCCTGGGGCTCCTCCCCCAGGAAGCTCAAAGCCGGGCGAAGGTGGGGGGTGAATAGAATTAAGGCTCTAAGAGGCAGGGAGACTCAAGGAAACGCGGTTGAGCAACACGCCACCAAGACGTGGCAATCTTCACTGTAGCCTTTTGAAGGCCCCGAGAGCAAGGTGAGAAGGATACGGCTTTAAGGACTGAGATTTGGCCCTAACCGGTGTGGCTCAGTGGATAGAGCGTCAGCCTGTGGACTCAAGGGTCCCAGGTTCCATTCCGGTTAAGGACATGTACCTTGGTTGCGGGCACATTCCTGGTGGGGGTGTGTGCAGGAGGCAGCTGATGGATGTTTCTCTCTCATGGATGTTTCTAACTCTCTATCCTTCTTTTTCCTTCCTCTCTGTAACAAATCAATAAAATATATTTTTTAATAAAAAGCCGAAACCGCTTTGGCTCAGTGGATAGAGCGTCGGCCTGCGGACTGAAAGGTCCCGGGTTCTATTCCGGTCAAGGGCATGTACCTTGGTTGCGGGCACATCCCCAGTTACGGGTGTGGAGGTAGCTGATCGATGTTTCTAGCTATCTCTCTCCCTTCCTCTCTGTAAAAAATCAATAAAATATATATTTTAAAAAAAAAGAAAGAAAGAAAGAACTGAGATTCACCCCACCGGGTCTTAATGGGGTCCAGACACTCTGAGGACAATCTTGCTGGACAGCCCTGTGACGTTTATATTTGTCCAAAGGAAAGCCAGAAAAGGGGAGTGGGGGGGATCGCTCATTCTCTCAGCCCTCTGATAGCAGGTCCACGAGATCCCTTCACCCCCCCCCCCCCAAAAAAAAAGCTCCCCATATATCCTCCAGGACTTCGGCTGCCTTAAAATATAGGCCTGCATTTATCTTGGCCAGATTAACTCGATCTGTTTGACCAATACGTTTGTATTTATGATGGCCGAGGGCAGATTAGGGTTGTTAAAAACTTGTCCCGGGGACGTGAAAATACTCCTCTGTCATTAATACATTCCGTAATGTAAACTGTGATGTCAGGTCCGCGCCGAGGGTAAAAACGCTCTGCACGTCGGCGCACATCATTTTTTAAAGCAATTGAGCCCCTAATGGAATGACAAAGGTCATCATAACAAACCATTACGGCCTCGGTCTTGGCAACGCCGGCCAGGGAAGCATCTCCAAGAAACCGTCATCATTCCTCCGATGTTATGGCAGCCGGACGACAGCCGTGGCCCGCAGATGAGTCATGCCGGCTCAGATCCTCGGTAGCTCTGTGCGCGCCGGGCGATCAATTATTCACGTGTTTACAAAGAGCTTTTGGGGCTGATGTTAACCAGAGCCGCGCGCAGAGACGGGCTGGCCAGCTGTCCTCGCTGGCCTCGGCCTCCGACTTAACAAGCTGCTCTAATTGCTCGGCTGGTCATGGGGGAGGTGCCCCCCGACCCCCCCAAACGGCCAAGCAAAGACAATCACTCCCGAGACTCCATTAGGAGGTGTAAAAATATTCATCAGGAATAACGATATACTAACGATGACAAGGAGACTTCATGGACGGTGCTCACAGCAAGCCCGAGAGAAAGAGAAAGAGAGAGAGAGAGAGAGAGAGAGAGAGAGAGAGAGAGAGAGAGAGAGAGAGAGAGAGAGAGAGAGAGAGAGAGAGAGAGAGAGAGAGAGAGAGAGAGACCAGTTAGACTTGACTTAGAACCCACACAGCTCCACCGGGATCGCAGTCTGGACTGGGAGACACTGGGAGACTGGGTCAGGGATGGGTGGAGGGGACAGAGAAGGAATGAATGGGGGAATCTGGGGGCTGTGGGCCTAAGAGGGAGGGAGGGAGGGAGAAGGAGCAAGAGCGGTCTAGAATGTTCTGGGAAGGGGAAGGGAGCAGGACCGAGGACCACCAAGGATGAGTCGATGAGGTTTGGTCAATAGCCAAAGGCGAGTGAACTTGACCCACCCATCAGCCTTGGAAGGAGCTGGATGGGAAGTCGTGGCTCAGCCCCTTCTGTTGCTTAACCCAACCCACAGGCTGTCCGGGAAGAGTGATCATGTGATGGAGGCAACTCCTCCCTGAGCTGGGCAGGGCGGTGGGGGGATGTGGGGAGCATGGAACCCGTGCTCCCCCGCTCAGGCCCCTCGCATGAGATCGAGGGAGAGTAGGATCACAGTCAAGGCCATGGCCTGGGTCTCCTCCCAAGGACAACACAGTCAGAGCTGACACCGAGATCCCTCCGATTATAGTGTATTTTTTTTAAATATGTATTTTTTATTGATTTTTTACAGAGAGGAAGAGAGAGAGAGAGAGAGTTAGAAACATCGACGAGAGAGAGAATCATCGATCAGTTGCCTCTTGCACACCCCCTACTGGGGGGATGTGCCCGCAACCAAGGTACATGCCCTTGACCGGAATGGAGCCTGGGACCTTTCAGTCCGCAGACCGACGCTCTATCCACTGAGCCACACCGGTTTCGGCTATTGTGTATTTTTTTTTTAAATGCATTTTTAGCCCAGTCAGCATGGCTCAGTGCTTGAGCATCGACCTAGGAGCCAGGAGGTCAAGTTCGATTCCCCATCAGAGCACATGCCCGGGTAGCGGGCTTGATCCCCAGTGTAAGACGTACAGGAGGCAGCCGATCAACGATTCTCTCCCAGCATCGATGTTTCTCTCTCTTCCTCTCCCTGCCTCTCTGAAATGCATAAGGATATATTTAAAAATACATTTTTATAACCCCCAATCATTGGTGGTGCAGAGCCAGAGTCTTCCCCTTGCTTGGAATGGGGTAACTTGAGATGCTGCCATAACCCACTGGTTCATTTCTAAGAACACGGTGGAAGCAAACAAGAGTCTGTTCTTGCTGACGGGAGATCCTAGCACAGGGCGCGAGCTTACGTAGGTTGGGGGGGGGGGGAGCCTTCGGGGTCGGAGGTAATTTTGCTCATGGTGGAGGGGGGCAGCACTCCTGGGAGGCGTTGCCATGGAAGCAAGGCTAGCAGACAGAAGGATGGCGCCTCTCGTCCACCCACCCATCCATCAGGGAATGCCGGTTGGGAAAACGAGTCCCAAGAGAGAGAATGCTTCTCCCTAAGACCCACGCACGGGGAGCTGGTCCAGGAGGCCCTTTCCTCGTCCCCTTGGACCTTGTAAGCCCTAATCCCATCCTTCCATGCAGAAGGACGAATCCCACAAGAGGCCTCCTGCATGGGATCAGGAACTGTCACTTCCCAGCATCCCTCCTGCTGACCCGACTCCCTGCCCCCGGCTGGCACGTCCCGGAGGCCAGAGCAGCATCTCAAGGGGGATCAGCCTGGGGGAGGGTGGTGGTCAACGCCAACTGCAGGTCTGCAGGGCCTTCGGCCAGCTGCTGGCCTTGGAAGAGCCATGAGGCGCACAGGACTTCCCAAAACTACTGGTCCTTGAATTCTCTGAGGGTTATCCCTCCAGGCCCGCCTCCAGAATTGCACGGACCAATCAAACATAGGGAGGTGCCCTGTTGGGTGTGGCACCAACACCCTGGCCACACCGAGGATGGGGGCCGCTCTGCCCATCATCAGGCACTGCTGGCATGAGTTCCGGGGACACATGCCTGGACTCCCGGCCCGGGTGGTGACAGCCCCATGGACCGTGTCCCAAGGTCACACTTGGCTGGTCAAGGTCACCCGGCCTCCAGCCACAGTTCTACCCACTCAGGACTCATGCCCCAGGCACCAGCCCTTCCCCACAACCCCCAACCCCAGATCATGCTCTCCGTGCCCTTTCGGGGCCTCACCTGGGGCTCCAGGAGAAGAAAAGCCACGTGACATTCCAGCCTTGCTTGGGGAGCTATTTAATTCCCACTGCGTGCCCCCCACAAAACCTTCTAGAACATTCCTCTCGCTCACCCACTCTTCCTCCGTCTCTTCTTTTCTCTCTCCCTGAGGGGTGGCCATGACATGACCGAGGTGAATCCAGAGGAAGGAGAAAGAATGACCCCACCATCACAACGAAACACGGAATTCTCAGACGCCTGTCCGTTAGGTGGCTTCCGGAAGTCCGACTCAGTCATGGAGACTGAGTTATTTTTTGGGCTTGAGCCTCAGGACTCTGGAAGCATCGAGACACAAGGAAATCCACAAAAGCAAAGACTCGGGAAACCAGAGATCTCAAGAAAAGGCAGAGGCTCCAACACACGGTATGTCAAAGGCTGGCATTTTCGAGGGGATTTTTTCCAGGGCACCTGCTCTCCGGGGACCCGGGGTCCCCGTTACTGGTCCAGCAGGTAGATGGCGTCCCCCACTCTGATCGTCCCTGGGTTTTCCGGAACCAAGTACTGTCCAAAGAGAGGCGATTTTCCGTACAGTTTCTGCTCGGAAGGGTCACACAGGCGGTAACTACAGGAGGAGAGAGACCAGGGTGAGTGACAGCCGCACAGAAGCGAGAGCTCAAACCAACCTGGTTTCCTCTCGGCAGAGGTGAGTGAGAATCAACCCCATGGTGCCTGTGGCCACACCCCGCATCTTTCCTCCAAGTAACGGTCCCTGTACTGGATAAGCTTCCACATCCCTCATCACCTTCCTTCCCCCACACACCCCTCCTCCTGATTCTCATGTCTGTCACCATCATCAGTGGTCGGTAAACTGCTGCTCGCAAGCCACACGCGGCTCTCTGGCCCCTGGAGTGTGGCTCTTCCACAAAACACCACGGCCTGGGTGAGTCTATGTTGAAGACATAGAAGAAGTTTACGTTTAAAAATATGTGGCTCTCCAAAGACATGTCCGTCGTTGTCCTGCGGATATTTGGCTCTGTGGGCTGATGCGTTTGCCGACCACTGCACTAGACTGAATTCTTTTTTTAATATGTTTTATTGATTTTTTACAGAGAGGAAGGGGGAGAGATAGAAAGCTAGAAACATCGACCAGCTGCCTCTTGCACACCCCCTACCGGGAATGTGCCCGCAACCAACATACATGCCCCTGACCGGAATTGAACCTGGGACCTTTCAGTCCGCAGACCGATGCTCTACCACTGAGCCAAACCGGTTTCAGCCTGAATTCTTTTTGTAAGTTTGCTCTGGTCTGGCCACTGCCTCTCCCTGCCCTCACCAGCCTCTGCAAACCTGTGCCCCTTTGCCCCTCCCATGCCCCCAGGCGGCACTGCCCGGGTATCCTCCATGTCCTGTCCCCTCTGCACTTTCCCGGTTTGCTGATTTTTCTGCAATTCCTGCAGGACGCCCTGCCCCAGGTCCCCGTGCATTCAAATTCTACCTCCTGCTCAAGGCCCTGAGACCAGTTTGGCTCAGTGGGCAGAGCATAGGGCAGAGCATAGGCTTGTGGACTGAAGGGTTCCCAGGTTTGATTCTGGTCAAGGGCACCTGCCTGGGCTGTGGGCTCCATCCCCAGTAGGGGGCGTGCAGGAGGCAGCCAGTTAGTGATTCTCTCCCATCCTGGATGTTTCTATTCCTCTTCCTCTCTGAAATCAATAAAAATGTATTAAAAAAATAAAAAATAAAGGGAAAGACTAATTCCTTTCTCATCTGTTTCTGCCAGTGGATGCCTCCCTGGGCCTCCCGGCTGCTGTTTTGAACACACGGGCCCCCGTGCCCGCCGTGGGTGGCACCATCAGGAGGCAAGGCCATCGGAGAGGCCTTCCAGCTGAGAACCTGCCTGGGGGATGGGGGGCAACGCAGCCCTCGGGCACCACGAGGACACAGGGGGATGGGGGGTGGGGGGAAGCAGTGTGTCTCCGAGCACCTCGCCCCTGAGCCAGGAGGCGTCTGGACACCACTGTTTGCTTCGCGTCCCATGATTTATGTCCTGCGGCCGGGCCCTTGGCGCTCGATTTATGACCACCTGCCCCGGGAAGCATAAATTACTGCCCCCGTGGCAACCTAAATCTCCTGGGCGAGAGGAGAAGGCACCTAGGCTGGCTGCTCTGTCTCCTGGGGGCTTAAGAGCAAAGAGGGGGGCCTGCAGGGAACATACGGAATTTCAGGAGAGCGAGCTGGTCCCCGTGACCCCGTGTGCCCACCCTCGGTCTGTGTTTGGATCCGTGATTCTCTGTAAACACAGGCTCCCTTGGAGGGGAAGGGGGGCAGCCCAGCCCACGGGGGGTGAGGGGAGGAGTCCTCAGGAAGCTGGCATCTCTGACATCCACAGGGGACGGTGCCCGACGCCAAGGGGCATGCTGGTGGCAGAGAGAAGCAGGCAGGCAGGAGAGGAGGAGGGTCCGTTTCCCCGTGGCTTGGCTGGTGGGACACAGAGCCACCCAGTTCTGCCCTGCCTGCTGTCTCATGGAGAACAACATCCAGACCCTGAGTGATGTGGCTCAGTGGTTGAGCGTCGACCTATGAACCAGGAGGCCATGGTTCGATTCCCGGTCAGGGCACGTGCTTGAGTTGCAGGCTCAATCCCCAGTAGGGGGCATGTAGCCGATCAATGATTCTCTCGCATCATAAATGCTTCTGTCTCTCTCTTCCTCTCCCTTCCTCTCTGAAATCAATTTAAAAAAATACATATAATATATTTAAAAAAAAAATAGTGCAATGAATCTACTGTTATCACCCAGATTCTATTTATCAATATTTTGACACATATTTTTCCCATGTTATATTTTGTTGTTGTTAATTCTCACCCGAGGATATTTTTTCCATTGATTATTATTATTTTTTTTAGAGAGAGAGAGAGAGTAGGAGAGAGAGGGAGAGAAAAGGGGAGATAGAAATATCAATGTAGATGCATCGATTCGTTGTCTCCTGCACACCTCAGCCTGACTGGGGCTCAGGACTGTACGTGCCCTTGACCAAGAATCGAACCTGAGACCCTTCAGTCCCTGGGCCAACGCTCTAACCACTGAGCAACCAGCCAGGATTCCCATGTCTTTTTTTTTTTTTTCCTAAAATAATCTGCAGCCCATCCCAGACATCATGTCACTTCCCCACACACGTTTAACATCTTTGTCCAAACACATGGACGCACCTTGCATCCCTGCAATGCCATTATCACATCTCATACGTTCTGGCATCATCTGATACTCAGTCCATGATAAAAATTTGCCAACATGGCTAACCACTGTGAATCTGTTTATTTAATTGGTGTGTCTGCATTGTGAATTCTCAATGAAAAACAAACAAACAAACATGTGTGCAAGCAGGCACCCCGGGGACCAGCCCCATCCCCACCTCCCCAGAATACTTCCCAGATCTGAGTCCCTAAGGCCGTGTGTGTGTGTGTGTGTGTGTGTGTGTGTGTGTGTGGTGGCGTTTCACTGCTCCTTCTTGGAGATATTACTGCCCGTTCCTACCTCTTCAGGGTCTCCAGCGGCTCCTTCCTGCTCATGACGCCCGTGTCCGGGTCCACAGTGGTGAGAAGGCACCTGCACACACAGGCCCAGAGCGTCACATGGGGACAGAGGCCTGGTCCCACCCTCCCTGTCCCGGGCAGCCACGCCAGGAGGGTCTTACCTGGAACAGGCCATCACCCTCTTCAGCTCCACGTCCCCGATGAGAAGTTTGTGCCACGAATCCTAGGGGACAGGACGCAGAGATCACGTGAGCACTCCGGAGCCCTCACCCCGACATGCCCCTCGCATCAGAGATGACAGTTTATTTATTTATTTTAAAATATATTTTATTGATTTTTTTTACAGAGAGGAAGGGAGAGGGAGAGAGAGTTAGAAACATCGATGAGAGAGAAACATCCATCAGCTGCCTCCTGCACACTTCCCTCCTATTGAGGATGGTGTCCGCAACCAAGGTACATGCCCTTGACCGGAATGGAACCGGGGACCCTTCAGTCCGCAGGCCGACGCTCTATCCACTGAGCCACACCGGTTTTGGCTAAAGATGGCAGAGTTTGCATCAGTCCCGTGAAGACACACACCTTCCTGCCCCTCTCTCTGCCTTTCGCGCGTCAGTTCATTCACCTGAAATGAAATGTCTCCTTTCCTCTCACTTGTCCATCTGTGATGGAAGCCCGCCTCCTGCAGGAAGCCGCCCTGATTGATGCTGCTGGACTCAAAAAGGAGGAGAAAGAAGGGGGAGGAGGAGTGGGGGAAAGCGAGGAGAGGGTCTGGAGAGGCTGTGTCAGATCACTGTGTGTGCGATTGAGGTGGATTAAGACCCTCAGTCCGCCAAAACCGGTTTGGCTCAGTGGATAGAGCATCGGCCTGCGGACTGAAGGGTCCCAGGTTGGATTCCGGTCAAGGGCATGTACCTTGGTTGCGGGCACGTTCCTGGTAGGAGGCATGCAAGAAGCAGCTGATCTATGTTTCTCTCTCATTGATGTTTCTAGATCTCTATCTTCCTTCCTCTCTGTAAAAAAAATCAATAATATATATATATATATATATATATATTTTAAAAGAGTCTACATTACTCTTTTTTAAAATTATATTTTTATTGATTTCAGAGAGGAAGGGAGATGGATACAGAGAGAGAGAGAGACAGAAACATCAATGTAGAGAGACAATCATTGATTTGCTGCCTCCTGCACGCCCCACACTGGGGATGGAGCCCATAACCCCGGCCTGTGCCCTGACCGGGAATCGAACCGTGATCTCCTGGTTCATAGGTCGATGCTCAACCACTGAGCCACACCGGCTGGGCAGTGTGTATTAGTCTTGGTATGTGTATCGCAGGCTTTTCTTTTAAGTCACAAAATGGGCCCCGAAACTGCAATATTTCGAGACAGTCCAGAAATCTGGACAGCTCAGTGCAGAGCAGCCCCGGCCCGTACTGTGTGCATTTCTCCACCAGGGGGCACCGACATCACACAAAAGCACATCTCTGCCTCGTCTATTCCTGTGAGGCCCCCCAACCCAGATCGGGTGCGCAAGAAATTTAAAAAAAAGAAGAAAAAAAAAAAAAAAGTTAAGTCCAAGGAAAAAGGCCAGGAAGGCTCGTGTTACCTCTGCATACTCGCCGCAGCCCGAAATGAGGATATTGGGCCTGAAGTTCATTGCCTTGACTTTCCGCTCCAGCCTGGAGTTGAGATCCGCCAGCGAAGCCTCCGACAGGAGCAGGAGCGGGCTGGCGTCCGAGTACGCGATCTGATGGAGAGACAAACCGTTACCGTGTTTCCCCGAAAATCAGACATCCTCCGAAAATAAGACCTACTTAACAGGTTTCCTTCTGAGTGAAATATAAGGCATCCCCCCGAAAATAAGCCCCCCCACCCCACAGGCTAAGCATGAGAGATTTGGTCCACTGATTCTGAAAGAAATGGAGTCCCAAGAAATTCACCAGGAAACTCAGGAATTGGATTGTTAGGATGATGTTCCAGAAGAGGATGACATGATTGTCATCGAATAAATGAGTCAATTCTTGATACTGTAGGATTCAGTTTGTCTGGTTTGTGTTGACAACGACCGTACTACCATATTGTATACAGGGAATACATTTCCTTTATTTTCATTTAACAATAAATGTGTACCGTATTCTTCTTCGTGGAAAAATAAGACATCCCCTGAAAATAAGACCTAGCGCATCTTTGGGAGCCAAAATTAATATAAGACATTGCTGTCTTATTTTCAGGGAAGCAGGGTATTACACAAAGGATTTCTCAGGGGTCAGGCGGGTCTAAACCTCGGAACCTGCTCTTCTCCCTCTCCCAATCTCTTTCAATATTTCTCTAGTCCTTTTTATATTTTTATTGATCTCAGAGAAGAAGGGAGAGAGACAGAGAAACATTAACTGCATCCATGATGAGAGAGAATCACCGATCGGCTGCCTCCTGCACACCCCCTGCTGGGGATCAAGCCTTAGACCTGGGCATGTGCCCTGAATGGGAAGTGAACTGAGACCTCCTGGCTCATAGGTTGATGCTTAACCACTGAGCAACACAGGCCGGGCCTTTTTTTTATAGAAAAGTCACAGTGATTCGGAAGGCCTTGCAGATAACGGGAATTATATGATGGAGGGACGTGGACGTGACCTTGGGCTCTTGGAACTGTCGGTGGGCAAGTGCCCTTGGAGAGGTCACTCCAGCTTTTCCAGCCTCTGGTTTCTCACGGTTAATATCTTAGCTGACAGTCAGGCGGTTGGGCTCGATGACCTCATTGTGTATGAATAAAAAAATCATTCCCTGATTCCACAGATATTTATTTATGCAACCTGCATATCAGTGTTAAAGACTCTTGCTGGCCCTGGCCAGTTTGGCTCAGCGGATAGAGCATCATCAGCCTGCGGACTGAAGGGTCCTGGGTTTGATTCCGGTCAAGGGCACATGCCCAGATTGCAGGCTCGGTCCCCAGGAGGGGGCCTGCAGGAGGCAGCCGATCAATCATTCTCTCTTATCACTGATGTTTCTCTCTCACACACTCTCCCTTCCTCTCTGAAATCAATAAAAAAATAAATAAAAGATTCTTGATGACAGTGACTTGTTGAATGGCCCTAGTAACTGAACTACACAACAGCGTGCTCCCAACCCCACTGTCACAACGACTCCGGGCAGCCTTTTTCTGGAAGAGCCGGTGTCGTCACTTAAGTCTGTGGGTTGCCAGACACACATCTCTCACCTGGTCTGTGGGCCGGAACGCGTCCTTTATCTGGTGGGGCTTCCTGGGCGGCATGTGAGGCTCGAAGTGCACCAGGCGGTAGGGCGGGGCCTTCAGGAAGCTGGTGATCCACTGGGCCGCCGCCTCGCCACAGTCCTGGCCCTGGATCTCCAGGCCGTGCACCCTGCGGGGGGGTGGGGGGGAAGGGTGAGGAGGAGTGAAGACTGAGCCTGGCTTTGCAAATCTGGGGACCTTACCATGCCCCACCCATATCAGAGAACCTGCCCACACTGTGATGTCACCGTCATCCCTTCATTATCAGGAGATGTGATGTTCGCCTGCCCCTGCTTCTGTGAATACCCAGTTAACCTTGATTTTTTTTTACAGAGAGGAAGAGAGAGGGATAGTTAGAAACATCAACGAGAGAGAATCATCCATCAGCTGCCTCTTGCACCCCCCTCCTACTGGGGATATGTCCGCAACCAAGGTACATGCCCTTGACCGGAATCGAACCTGGGACCTTTCAGTCCACAGGCTGATGCTCTATCCACTGAGCCTAACCGGTTTTGGCATCTTTTGTCAAATATTGATCGACTTTGTAGGCGTGGGTTTATTTCTGGGTTCTCAATTCTGTTTCAATGATCTGTTGTCTAGTATTTTTATGCCGGTAATGTTTTGATTATTGTAGCTCTGTAGAATGGTTTGAAATCAGGAAGTGGGATGCCTCCAGCTTTGTTCTTTCTTTCTTCTTACCCCCCACCCCCCCAAGATTGCTTTATTCAGGGTATTTCATGGTTCTATGCACATTTTAAGATTGTAGTTTTCTATTTCTGTGGCAAATGCCATTGGGATTTTTTGCGTAGGGATTGCACTGAATTTGTAGATGACTTTGGGTCTTATGGACCAGTGGATTCTTGATATCTTTGCCCCGAGAGTCTGAGCATTTCTCATTTGCAATTCCCAAACAGGTTCTTGTTTAGTCTTTGGGGCAGGGGCCAAAGTCTGTACGGGATCATGCAGAACATTTTCACGCCATTGCAGATGGGTTAAAAATTAAGGGATAAAAATTTTCACCGCGAAGAATTATGTTTCTAGCTTCCTCTAACTTTCTCCATTCCTCTCTGTAAAAATATCAATAAAATATTTTTTAAAAATTACAAAATTGTTTTTAAAAAAGGACTTGGAATCCTTCGCTAATTGCTGACCCCCTTTCTCAGGATTCTCTCTGAAGGTCGAACGTTCTCGAAACACGCACACCAGGGCTAAGAAGGGCCATCAGCTCACCTGCACTTGAGCACGGGGTTGGTGGCAGGCGTCTCGATGGGCAGCAGCAGGTCCTGCATGTACGCTGCGCTGAGGGTCAGCGTGTCGCCCTCACAGGTCAGGGACACCAGCACCAGGCGCGGCTCCTGGCGGGCGGTCACCATGGTCCCCGCCTCGTTGATCACTAGCCAGAACCTGCCGTTTGCAAAAGACAAGATGTGCATGGACCGCCCCGACAGGCTGCCTGCCTGCAGGGCCTCCAGTCACGCACGGTCACCCCGCTGGCCTGCTGTGTGAGTGGCTATGTGTGTCTGTCTGTCTATCCGAAACATCAGTTCAGCAGCCCAGCAGGACTGAGCCTTTCGGTTCATTTCAAAGGGTCTCATGGCCACTCAAGCACCTGACGTCACTTCTACAGGACATTTCCGAGCTCCTTGATGTGTGGCACTGAAATCAGAGATGTGGATTATATTTCCTTTTTAAAAAAATATATTTTATTAATTTTTCACAGAGAGGAAGAGAGATGGATAGAGAGCTAGAAACATCAATGAGAGAGAATCACCCCGATCAGCTGCCTCTTGCACACCCCCTACTGGGGATGTGCCCGCAACCAAGGTACATACATGCCCTTGACCGGAATCGAACCTGGGACCTTTCAGTCCGCAGGCCGACGCTCTATCCACTGAGCCAAACCAGTTCCAGCTGGATTATATTTTCATCTCAAATGGAAGTCTGGTCACTTTCATTCAACCCGCCTCAAGGAAATGACAATAATATATTTCCCAGGAAGACCTCAAGGCCCACAGAGCCCGACACACAGTAGGGCTCTTGCCCGTGGAGGTACCAAGGCTCTTGCTATATTGTTCACAGAGTTTGGGGTTCAGCTGACCACATTCAATGCCAGGCACGCCTTGCCAAAGCCACCCTCCCCTTAAAAAAAAAAAAAAGATAATGTTTCTGTATTCAGAACTGTGAATTCCGCAATTTACTGAAAGGTCTATTGTTAATATGGACAATGGTATTTCTGGCCAGTACTCCTGGTCTAGAGCTACTTCCCAGAAAGAGAGGGGGAGGAGGGAAGGGAAGGGAGAAATAAGAGCAAGAGAAAGGACATTTCCACAAGAAGAACAATGCAATTGCGTAAGTTGCCTCGCAGCTCCCAAGGAAGCTAAACATGATGTGTGGGCGATTTCGGTTCACACCGGACCGGAAGGTTACCATTACAGAGTGAGCTTGTGCTATGAGAAATCTGTGAACATAAGAAGAAATATGGCCCTAACCGGTTTGGCTCAGTGGATAGAACGTTGGCCTGCGGACTGAAGGGTCCTGGGTTCGATTCCAGTCAAGGGCATGTACCTTGGCTGGTGGCTGAATCCCCTAGCAGGGGTGTGCAGGAGGCACCCGATCGATGTTTCTCTCTCATTGATGTTTCTAACTCACTATCCCTCTCCTTTCTTCTCTGTAAAATCAATGTATATGTATAAAAGCCTAATATGTAAGTGGTCCCCACAGGAGTTCAATTGCTTGCTATGATGTGCACTGACTACCAGGGAGTGGCGTGGATTGAAGGAAGGCCCTGGCTGGCAGCTGGAAGGCCTCCATCAGCCCTGATTGCTGGCCAGGCCTAGGGGCCCTACCCAAGCACGATAGTCTTGCACCAGACCTCTAGTGTGTGTGTGTGTGTGTGTGTGTGTGTGTGTGTGTGTGTGTGTGTGTGTGTGTGTTTGATGGTCTTAGGCGACCCACAGGCTGAGAACCGCTAGCAGGGCCACCTAAGACCATTGGAAACCACAGATATTTACATTACGATTCATAACAGTAGCAACACGACAGTTATGAAGTAGCAACGAAAATAATTCTATGGTCGGGGGTCACCACAACAGGAGGAACTGTATGAAAGGGTCAAGGCATTAGGAAGGTGGAGAACCACTGCTCTAGAATGTTCGTCCTTCAACGGGCTTGCTGGAAAAATTTATTATTTTTGCATTTTCAGCTCCAGCGACAATGTCACTCCTGACCTCCCCAAACCCTTCCTGGTGTCCCTTCCCCTGCATCCTGGCACCGGTCACGCTGGGTCAGCTGCCCCGTAGGACCGCATCCCCGGGTCACAGGGCTTGGCAGCAGGACAGGGAAGCGTGCACCCCCATACAAATGCCAGCTCTTACAATCGCCCTTTGCACTGTGAGCTCAGTGCATCTCTTTCCAACGGGTACAGCGCACTGGCGATGCCCTTGACCTCTGGGCCTGCAGTCAATGCTACCCTCCTCCGGAGTCCTCCCTGCAGCCAGGAGGCATCGCTCACCTTTCCACGGTGTCACGTCGCCCTCTATCGGGGAGAGGAAGGAAGTGACAGGCCCTGAGCCCCGTGTTACCCACAGAAGCTGTGAGGGCTGCCAGCGGAGGAAGGAGTTTGGGGTGCAGACGTACAATGAGGCCAGGGTGGCTTACGTCACTTAATATAATGTTCTCTAGATGTATCTATGCCATAGCATATATTAGAACTTCATTCCTGAAGCCAGACCCCGAGGGGGACAGGGCCCCTTGCTCTGGGCCTTTGCAGTCCTGGCTGAACCCCAGGAATTCCCATGGGGCGTGGATAAAGCCCCTCTTCTCCACGCACCAAGGGAGCAAGGGAACCGGAGTCCTGCTTGCCCACTGCACGCGGCTCTGAGCCGGGTTCTTACCCCATAAAAACCAGCTGGAGAGAATTAGGGGGAAGATAGGCTCAGCACATGTGTTTTGTGTTTGTTTGTTTTTAATGGATGCAGTAACATGACAACGCAACCGCGCTTTGCAAGCTGCAAGAAACCTGAGCGTCAAGTTTCCAACCTTATCCTGTGGCGCCGGCTCGGGGGCGCTCTTTGGATGGGGGGGGGGGGGGAGGTGGCTCCAAGTTACCCCAAGTTCTCAAGAGAGAGTGAGAAAAAGTAGCGAGGTAGAGGGGCATGCATGGAGGGTGCGGGGCGGGGGGTGACAATCCTGGCTCGGGGCTTCCGCTGGACATGCCTGGGGACCCATGCCACACCTCAGCAGGAGCGCAAGATACAAGATGCAAGATGCAAGAGCCCTTGACAGGTGGAAAGCCAGCCAGCTGGGGACAGCAGATGCATCGCCTGGAGCTCAGCTCAGCTCCAGGCGATGCATCCCTGTCTCTTTCCCTTGTCCCACCCTCTCCCGGTTCCCGGGAGGACCAGTGAGCGCCCACCCCGTCCCCAACTGGTCCCAGATGCCAATCCCCATCCTCATCCCCATCCCCATCCCCATCCCCATCCCCATCCCCATCCCCATCCCGGGAGGACCTGTGAGCGCCCCTGCAGCCTCCCGCGCCCACCCCGTCCCCAGCTGGTCCTCCATCCCCATGCCCATCCCCATGCCCATGCCCACCCCGCGGAGCCGGTACCTGTCCCGCAGGTGACCACAGCGCAGCCCCAGCGCGGTGCACTCGGCCTCGCTCACCGCCACGCCCTTGCCGGACTTGAGCGGGTAGATCCACAGCTCGGCCACGGTGCCCACCTGCCGCCGGCGCCCCCCGCGCAGCACCCGGCGCCAGAGGCCCTTGCCCAGCGCCAGGGCGCCCAGCCCCAGCCCCAGCGCCACGGCGCCCAGGCCCAGGCCCAGCGCGGCCGTGCCCAGCCAGGAGGCCCGGGGCGGCTCGGGGAGGCGCGGCACCCGCACGTAGAGGTGGCTGCCCGCCGGGGTGCCCATGGCCGGGGCGCGCGGGGAGCCGGCCGGGCACCGCGGTCACGTGCGCGGCTGCCCCAGCTTGGGGGGTGCAGGGCGGGGTGGGGTTGGGGTGGTGACCCTTGGACCGAGCCCTGGAGGGCAGCTCCGGAAGCCCCGCCCTCCCGGCCAATCAGAGGCCCGCGATTGCCCGAGGGGGCGGAGTCAGGGGCGGGGTGGGGGCGCGCTGGCCTCCGGTGCCCGCTGGCTGCGGCCGGGCAGGCGCGTGACCCGGGCAGGCTGCCCGCTGCCCAAGGATCGATCTGCTTACTCGAGGCCTGTTTTTTTTTTTTGTTGTTTGGTTTTTTAATATATATATATTATTGATTTTTTACAGAGAGGAAGAGAGAGAGAGTTAGAAACATCGATGAGAAAGAAACATTGATCAGCTGCCTCCTGCACACTCCCTACTGGGGATGTGCCTGCAACCAAGGTCCATGCCTTTGACCGGAATCATCGAACCCGGGACCTTTCAGTCCGCAGGCCGACGCTCTGAGCCACACTGAGCCACACTGGTTTCAGCTCGTGGCCTGTTTTATCCAACCAAAAAGGGGCCAAAAAGAGGAAATGTGCAAGAGAAAGCCTGCGTTCGAGCTAGAAACCAGGCAGCGGGCAGCTCCTGGGCGTGGGGAGAGCGGGGAGCAGGTGCACCGAGGAGTCCATGCCACCTTCCCAGGAGTCTGGGAACAGGCCCATCTAACTTATTCCTTCTCCAACCTCAGGCCCCCGCCCTCTCCCACCTCCAACATCCAGGAGTCGTGTTCAGGGCACACAGATCAGTGTTGCTGCAGCTATTGGGGTGCATCTGTGGGCTAATGAACTCTTTCCTCCCCAATGTTGGGTGGTGGGAGGCCTGGGAAGATAGAGGGACAGCACATTCCAGAACACAGGGCTTTGGACCCCATATTCTCTATAGAAAAAGCAGCTCCCAGACCTTCAGTGTGATGGATTTGTTTCTCTCCCTAATTTCTCTCCAGAATTTTTAAAAAATATATTTTTATTGCCGAAACCGGTTTGGCTCAATGGATAGAGCGTCAGCCTGGGGACAGAAAGGTTCCAGGTTTGATTCCAGTCAAGGGCATGTGCCTTGGTTGCGGGCACATCCCTAGTAGGGGGTGTGCAAGAGGCAGCTGATGGATGATTCTCTCTCATTGATGTTTCTAACTCTCTATCCCTCTCTCTTCCTCTCTGTAAAAAAAAATCAATAAAATATATATTTTTAAAAATAAAAATAAAATAAGAAAGCCCTGGAAACAGGTTCATACATACCAAAGAGGAAGTATACATTTATTAATATGAAAGGAACCACAAAATTATACGTCTGCGAATTCATTCACATATTTATTACTTCAGTGAGAATTTCTGTTGCATCATACCAAAAAAGTTCATTTTTCTTGGTTATCAAATTAACAATGATTTGTGCCTAAAAATCTATGGGCAGCCTTCCTTCTTCCCACTCTACTCTCAAAGTTCCATTCTCTTTTAGATCCCAGTTCTCTTCTTGATCACAGCTGGATTTCCACAGTTGCACAAATACTTGTATTTGGCTTAAGAGAGGCATAATTGAATATAAAAATAAGTTTTATAAAATAATTGCCCTACTCAAGTACAACTGGATTCCATGGTGGTCGGGTCAAAAGTACATGAATGGAAGGTCCATAGGACTCAATAGCCACGTAAAACCAACAAATAGAGTCCTGGCCAGTATGCTCAGTGGTTAGAGCATCCACTCCGCGGGGGTGGGGGGAAGGGGGAGATTGAAGGTTGTGGGTTTGATTCCCAGTGAAGGGCACATACCTGGGTTCAATCTCCCACCCCAGGCAGGGCCAGTTTGGGAGGCAACCAATCAATGAGTCTCTCTCTTCCCCTCCCTCCCTTCCACTCTCTCTAAAAAATCAATTAAAAATCAATCCTCGTGTGAAGAACTGGCTAACAGAATTTTGTGTATTCATCCATAAAGGCACATCAGGAAACCTGCTGTTCTTCCTTTCGCCTAAAACAGGAAAGGCGAGGTAATAAAATGTAAACGTTTTGGAAAAATCGGGCAGCTTTTCAGCAGATTCTTTATCCTTTCTTCCCTCGTCAGAATTAATGTCATAAGTGGAAGAGCTACAGTACCATTCAAAACAATTCTATAAATGATTTTATTCATTGAAACAGTCTTCCTCACCTAAAATCTATATAACCTTCGGAGCAGGAATAACTCCAAAAAGTCAAAAAACGAAGGTTCGTGTCAGGGCGAAGATGATCGGAGGTGTTGTTATTGTAGTTAAAATCCGGATGGATGTCTCCTGGACGCTTACATCTGGGAAAATAACAAGAATGTCTGATTATTTGCTTTTCTTTCTCGTCCTGCCCATATACTGAATTCAAATACCCAACACAACAGCCACTTATCAAAATGCAGGAAATGAAATCATGTCTTGCACCAAATCATGGAAAAAAGTCGAGTTAAGATGGAGTTGCCCATACAGTTCTGCCAACAGCTCAGAGCGAGGGCTGTCTCTCCCAGGACATGGCGGGGGTGCAGATATGGGAGGAGCCCTTTGGAAAGCAATTGGTCAAGAGGCTAAAAAAAAAATATGCCGAGACCCCCATGAGTCAATAATTCCACTTTAAAAATGAAACTTAGGGGAAAACACTTCATTTTAAATGCTCTGCATACGAACATATGGACCGTAATACTATTTCTTAACAAAACTGGCGATAGTCCAACTGTCAAAAATACTGTAAGCTGATGGAATGTTATGAAGCCATTGAAAAATGGCATTTGAGCCTGGCCAGCGTGGCTCAGTGGTTGAGCATCGAACTGGGAGGTCCCAGTTCGATTCCCGGTCCGGGCACAGGCCTGGGTTGCAGGCTCAATCCCCAGTGTGGGGCGTGCAGGAGGCGGCTAATCAATGATTCTCTTTATCATTGATGTTTCTCTACCTCCCTTCCTTTCTGAAATCAATAAAAATATATTTTTAAATGACATTGGAATAGATTGGAAGGCTATGAAAGTGCTTATGATACATACTTCTGTGTGTGTGCATATATATACTGTATATCTTATAGATATAAGATATATATACATATATACATATATATACATATACATATATATACGTATACACACACACACATATATATGATGTCCCAAAAATGTGTACACACTTTGAATGATTATTAATTCCAATGTGTTAAATATGAAAAGAAACATCAGTTGAGCTATTGTTGTTACACTATGTATACATTTTTGGGGAACTGTGTTTGTGTATGTGTGTGTGTGTAGCATATGATATATACCGTATATCAGAGACAGAAAAAAATAAAGTATGTAGCTCTCGCGGGTCGCTCACCTTAATGGTCTTATTTTGAGTAATACCCGCTAGAGAGCTGGGCACACATGGCCTGGAGAGTGGGATGGCCAAGTCCGGGTGTGGGAATACAGATGACTGAGGGCATTAAAAATAAAGGGCATTTTGCCGAAACCAGTGTGGCTCAGTGGATAGAGCGTCAGTCTGTAGACTGAAAGGTCCCAGGTTTGATTCCGGTCAAGGGCATGGACCTTGGTTGCGAGCACATCCCCGGTAGGGGGTGTGCAAGAGGCAGCTGGTCGATGATTCTCTCTCATCGACATTTCTAGCTCTCTATCCCTCTCTCTTCCTCTCTGTAAAAATATCAATAAAATATATTTTTAAAATAAATAAAGGGCATTTCCATCTCTACAGGTCAGAATGCAAGCTGCTCACTCTTCCCACAAAACGTAGAAACATCTGAACGTGAGGAAGCGTGGCCGGGACTAAGGCCCCGCCTTCCAAAGCACAGCTGGCCCTTCCCCACGTCACTCACCATCTTGTACACGGGGTCGCCCACTTTCAAGCTTCCCATTTTTTCCACCGAATAATACATCCCAAACAGCGGGGACGACTTGTAGATTGGCTGCTCCGAAGGATTACACAGACGGTAGCTGAAAGAAGCCGAAATTCATCCTCAGGAGCCAGAAAGCATTAATAACCTAAGTGCTTCGGCCCTGGCCGATGTGGCTCAGTGGATAGAGCGTCAGCCACACGACCGAAGGGTCCTCGGTTTGATTCCCGTCAAGGGCACGTACCTTGGTTGCAGGCTCCTCCCCCAGTCCCAACCAATCGTTTTGTGTTTCTCTCGCATCAGTATGTCTCTCTGACTTTCCCTCTCTCTTCCACTCTCTCTAAAAAAATCAATGGAAAAAGGTCCTTGGGTGAGGATTAAAAAATAAAAAATAATAACCTAAGGGCTTTTCATAGGATTCAAGCTTTCACCCAGGGCTGGCCATAGCGGTTTCTCTTTCTCATTAATGTTTCTCTCTCTCTCCTTCTCCCCCCCTCTCCTTTTCTCTCTCTCTAAAATCAATGAAAAACATTTATATATATTTAAATATATTTCATTGATTTTTACAGAGAGGAAGGGAGAGGGATAGAGAGCCAGAAACATTGATGAGAAAGAAACACCGACCAGCTGCCTCCTGCACACCCCGCACTGGGGATGTGCCCGCAACCAGGGTCCATGCCCTGGACCATAATTGAACCTGGGACTCTTCAGTCCTCAGGCTGACGCTCTGTCCACTGAGCCACACCGGTTAGGGCATAAAAACATATATATATATATATATTTTTTTTTTTTTAATTGTCAAAAGCACGAAAAAATGCATCCAGAAACAAAGAGGAAGCAGCACTCCCAAGAACCGATAGGCACAAGCCCAGCGGAAGGCAGAGTGGAAGGTGCCCGCAGAGCACCTGCCCCCGCTGGTAGCTCTCGCTGGGGATCATGTTAAAAACACACGGGACCCGTGTCCTACCTCTTCAGGGTCTCCAGGGGCTCCTTCCGGTTTATCACTCCGGTGTCGGGGTCCACCGTGGTCATGATGCACCTGTCGGGCGGGAGCCGCGGGTGAGGTGACGATGAAGAACCCCACTCTCCAGGGGCCAGGTCTCGCGAGAGTCCTTACCTGGGGCAAGCCAAAACCTTTTTCATTTCCATGCTGCCAATCTGGATTTCATCCCAGGTGTCCTAGGAGAAGGGGAACAAGCACTATCTGTTGAATGAAGGCTTCCCTCGTCTTTTTTTAAATTATTTTTATCCAGATGGTTGCGTAGCTCGCTCTTTACTTCACCACGGCCTCATTTTATTTTATTATTTTTTAAATAAATCTTTATTGTTCAGATTATTACATATGTTCCTCTTTTCCGCCCCATAGCTCCCCTCCACCTGATTTCCCACCCCACCCCCTGCCCTTACACACACACCCCCGTCCCTGTCCTCATCCACAGGTGTAAGATTTTTGTCCAATCTCTTCCCGAACCCCTCAGACCCCCTTTCCCCAGAGAAGTGTCAGTCCACTCCCTTCCTATGCCCCCGATTCTATTATATTCACCAGTTTATTCTGTTCCTCAGATTTTTTTAAATTTTTAAATATATTTTTATTGATTTCAGAGAGGAAGGGAGAGGGAGAGATAGATGATAGGTAGATAGATAGATAGATAGATAGATAGATAGATAGATAGAGGGAGAGAGAGAGGAAGAGAGAGAGAGGGAGAGAGAAACAATGATGAGAGAGAATCAGCTATCTCATCGATGTTTCTAATTCTCTATCCCTCTCTCTTCCTCTCTGTGAAAAATCAATAAAATATATTTTAAAAAAACAAAACAGGGAGCCACTAACCTCCTCAAAGGCCTCGCAGCCCGTCACCACTATGTTGGGCCGGAACTGGTCCATCTTCACCTTCTTCTCCAGCCTGGTGTTCAGGTCGGCCAGGGAGGCCTCGGAGATGATGTGGATTGGGCTGCAGTCCGAGTACGCCACCTGCGCCAAGAGCACGGCCCCGTCAGGCCTGGCCGCCTCCTGACAGTCCCGGGGCCAACTGCACAGCCAAGCAAAGTCTGCACGCAAGCCCTGGCTGGTCTGGCTCAGTGGATAGAGCATTGGCCTGCGGGCTGAAGGGTCCCAGATTTGATTCTGGTCAAGGGCACATGCCTGGGTTGCGGGCTCCATCCCCAGTAGGGGGCGTGCAGGAGGCAGCCGATCCATTATGCTCTCTCATCATTGATGCTTCTCTCTCTCTCTCTCTCCCCCTTTTCCTTCCTCTCTAAAATCAATAAAAACATATTTTTTTGCCAAAAGCAGTTTGGCTCAGTGGATAGTACGTCGGTCTGCAGAGTGGAAGGTCCCAGGTTCGATTCCGGTTAAGGGCATGGTTGCGGGCACATCCCCGGTAGGGGGCGTGCAGGAGGCAGCTGATGGATGTTTCTCTCTCATCGATGTTTCTAGCTCTCTATCCCTCTCCCTTCCTCTCTGTAAAAATTCAATAAAAAATATTTTTAAAAAACACATTTTTATTTTTTTTTTTTTAATTCTAGAAGCAAAACCACCCAAGTGCAGAAGCAGGGAAGGGATGCTTCGAGCTTGGAAATGGCCAAGTCAGCTCTGGGCTTGGGGCAGGGATCCCCGACCACACCCTGCAGGCAGCAGGCAGCAGGCAGCAGCCAGGCTGGGGACCCACCTCCTCCTGCTGCCCCCCCCCCCCCCATTTCCTCCTCATTCCGCACTCCAGCGCCCCACAGGTGATCCCCCTCCCACATCATCATCGTCATCAAACGGGGGAAGCCTCTGTGGCCAGTCAGCTTGGCCGGAGTAGGGATGTCTTTCCGCTGCCACCACCCCCCTCAACATGCATTTCATGAAGCACCTACTGCGTGCCGGCCTTGTTCCAGGCGGGAAAACTGCACAGAACAACGCAGGTGCCAGGCCATGCACTCAAGGAGCCTAGGAACCGAGGGCCTGGGGGAGGGGGTGGGAGAGACACCCCGAGGAGCGTGCGTGCTCTTGTAAACCTTATTTCACTGCAGGACCAAGGCTCGGGGTGCAGTGTCTTTACTGGAGGTGCCTTCCCAGCACCCGAGAAAACCATCCCGAGCTGCCTGTGGGAGCAGCGCTGGCCCAGGGAGAAGCCTGCTTCTGAAATTTTAGGAAACCTGCGTTTAGCCCCAAAGGAACCTCTCACGTTCACCTCTCCTCCCCAACCGTTTTCTCCTGAGTTTCTCCCGAGAGTCACTCCTGGCTCCTCCCCGCACATTCCATCCGCTAGGCCAGTGTTTCCCAAGCTCCTCTCATGATGAGAGTCACCGGGTGCAGTTGTTAAACTACAGATTCCCGGATCCCAACAAAGAAGTGCTAAACTGGAATTTTTGGGGAGCATATAGGCAAAAGCACTAGTTACCTACCGTATACAATGTTACCTACCGTGTTTCCCCGAAAATAAGACATCCTCCGAAAATCAGACCTAGCACATGCAAAGATAAGACATACCCTGAAAATAAGACGTAGCGCAACTTTGGGAGAAAAAATTAATATAAGACACTGTCTTGCCAAAACCGGTTTGGCTCAGTGGATAGAGCATCGGCCTGCGGACTGAAGGGTCCCAAGTTCGATTCCGGTCAAGGGCATATACGTTGGTTGCGGACACATCCCCGGTGGGGGGTGTGCAGGAGGCAGCTGGTCGATGTATCTCTCTCATCATTGATGTTTCTAGCTCTCTATCCCTCTCCTTTCCTCTCTGTGAAAAATCAATAAAATATATATATTAAAAAAAAAAGACACTGTCTTATTTTCAGGGAAACAGGGTATAAGTTCCCCAAAATTCCAGTTTAGCACTTCTTCGTTGGGATCCGGGAATCTGTAGTTTAACAACTCCACCTGGTGAGTCTCATCATGAGAGGAGCTTGGGAAACACTGCTGTAGGCATCCCACTGCCCTCTCCATCCCCAACACCTGCCCAGGTGGTACCCTATGCCACCCACCTGGGCCAGAATACCCTTCCCTGCCTGGGGTCCCCCAGAGAGGCTCTTAGGGGGTTGATGAGGAGGCAGAAGGAGCAGGGTGGCGGGCGGGCGGGCGGGCGGGTGGATGGGGCAGGGGAGGGGCGGGCCTCTGGCGGCTCACCTGGTACTTCTGCACAAAAGACGGGAAAATGCTCCTGGATGCCCTTCCCTTCATGCTCTGCTCAAACTGAACCAGCCTGAAGGGCTCTGACTTCAAGAAGCTGGTGAACCACTGGGCAGCCTTGTCGCCGCAGTCTCTGCCCTTAACGTCCAGGCCAAAGATCCTGCAGGGGCGATAAGAGGGACCGGGGTCACGGCCTGCATCGGCGGGTCCTGGGCAGCAGGTGGGGTCCTCAGAGCCCGAGGCTCTGCCTTTCTCAGCTGCTGGACCGGGGACCACAGGGATTCAGGATGCTTTTGGAGGAGGACAAGGATGTAACGCTGCACAGAAGTCATTCTGCTGGAACAGAAAGAGTCAGACCCTAAAGGCTGGCTCTTCCCACGCCCTCTGTGATGGTCCCAATCACACTTTTTAAAAAATATATATATATTTTATTGATTTTTTTACAGAGAGGAAGGGAGAGGGATAGAGAGTTAGAAATATCGATGAGAGAGAGACATCGATCAGCTGCCTCCTGCACATCCCCTACTGGGGATGTGCCCACAACCAAGGTACAGGCCCTTGACCGGAATCGAACCTGGGAACCTTCAGTCTGCAGGCCGATGCTCTAGCCACGGAGCCAAACCGGTTTCGGCCAATCACACTTTTTGATCGTTTATATTTGTGATGCTTTGCCACCTTAGGGTTTTGCTGATTTGAAAGCAAGTGCCCTCCCAGGGCTAGAGGTAGGAAACCACTCGGCTTCCATACCCATGCCCACAAATGGAGAGCCTCAGCCCCAGCCACCTCCTCTGCTGCTTTTAAATCCCAGCCCCCATTCTTTGCCCTAATCACCCAGAGCCCAAAGGTGCCAGGCTACCAGGGGGCAGCCCCCAGTCCCAGCACCCACTGAAATTCTCAACACCCGCCAATCCTACGTCCTTCCTCTGGAAAGGACAGTAAAGGCCTTTGTTCACTTCTTTCCTGTCCCCTCTGCCTCCTGACCAGCCTGGAGCGCCCCCGTGTGGCCCTGCACGGCTTGGCGCCCTGTGTTTAGGGACTGGCAAATATATATATATATATATATATATATATATATATATATATATATATATATATATATATATAAAATATTTCTTTGTGACAGTCATTTCCTCACCTGCGAGTCTTACCACGTCTGATTAAAACAATTCCCAGCTGGACAAATATGTGATACCTTTATCAATCAAGAAATTTAAACAAACAAACAAAAAAAGCATTCCCAGGGCCCAGCCAGCTCGGCTCAGTGGTTGAGCATCGACCTGTGAATCAGGAGGTCACGGTTCGATTCCTGGTTGGGGCACATGCCCGGGTTTCGGGCTTGATTTCCAGTGTGTGGGGGGCGTGCAGGAGGCAACCAGTCAATGATTTTCTCTCATTATCGATGTCTCTATCTCTCTCCCTCTCCCTTCCTCTCTGAAGTCAATTAAAAAATATATTTTAATAACAATTCCCAGGTGCCCTAACCGGTGTGGCTCAGTGGATAGAGCGTCGGCCTGCAGACTGAAAGGTCCCAGGTTCGATTCTGGTCAAGGGCATATACCTTGGTTGCGGGCACATCCCCGGTGTAGGGTGTGCTGACCAATGTCTCTCTCCCATCGATGTTTCTGACTCTCTCTCTCCCTCTCCTTTCTTCTCTGAAGTCAATAAAAATATATTTAAAACAATTCCCAGGTACCTGCAAGCAATAGCCTGCACCTGATCACACCTGATTCCAACTCAGTCTAGACTGCTCCAAAACACTTCCTTCCCCAGACTCCCTGAACCCCCTCCTGGGCAAAGAGGGGGTTCAGGGAGGAGCCTAGGAGGGGGGCTGGGCCTGTCGCAGGTCCCAGGGGGGCCCCAAGCAGAGCACCTGCAGTTGTGCACCCGGTTGGAGGAAGGCAGCTTGGTGGGCAAGACCAGCTGCTCGGCGAAGCCAGGCGCGCTGAAGACCAGGCAGTCGTCCTCGTAGGCGATGGAGACCAGGACCAGGCGCGGTTCCTGCCGGGCTGAGACCATGTGTCCGTCTTCCTTAATCACCAGCCAAAACCTGCGATAAAAGAGCCAGGGCACACTCAGAACACCCTCTTCCTCCCTCCCCGCCCCATCTCCCCCAATCTCCCCCAGGGCTGCCCTCTGTGGTTCTCTTTCATCAAATCCTCGCCCTGGGACCAGACAGGGTGGGGAACCCCTATGTCCCAGCACCCACTGGAGCCCCAGCGAGGCCAGAGCCAGGGCCCTGCAGCCAGCCAGGGCCTTGGGGTTCAGCGTTGCTCCAGGCCGCCCCCTAGTGGCGATGGCAGTTTATGTTTCTGCTTGTGGAGCCAAAAGCAAGTTTACCACCAGGGCAGACTCAGTCCTTCTGCCCAGAAGGAACTTTGACCTCGGCCTACCTCCCCCGACCTGGCTCAGGCATGAACTTGACCTTCCCCAAACCAGGTTTACCACCTGGTTTTGCGTGTGATCCTGTAGCAAACCTCTCCTCTCCTTCCGGAGGGGGAATTGGGGGAAAGGTAACGGGAAGCCCCCTTCCCCTCCGGACTCCCCCGACCCCAGCCCCAGCAGCTCCCGCGCTGACAAGCCCCTCGTCCTCACCCCCCTGCCCCCGCTCCTGCGCCCCCTCCCCCTACCTGTCCCGCAGGCGGCCGCAGCGCAGCCCCAGCGCCGTGCCCTCGGCCTCGCTCACCGGCACCCCCTTGCAGGACTTGACGGGGAAGATCCACAGCTCGGCCACGGTGCCCACCTGCCGCCGCCGCCGGGGCCGCCGGGCCCGCCGCCGCCAGAGCACCGTGCCCAGCGCCGCGGCGCCCAGGCCCAGCGCGGCCGCCCCGAGCCAGGCGGCCCCGGGCAGCGCGTCCCGGCGCGGGCCCCCGAGGCGGCCCAGCAGCTGCGAGCCCGCCGCGCCCATGGCGGAGGGTGGCGGGCAGGGACCGGGGAGGGAGCAGAGACCAGGGAGGCAGCTGGGAGCACGAGGAGCTGCAGGCCCGGAGGAGGGGAGGGAGGAGCCGGGCTCGGCCCAGCCCCCGGGGAGGAGGGGGCACAGGCCACCCGCGCGCCCAGGGCGGAGGGGAAGGCAGGGACCTGGGAGGCTGCAGGGACCTGGGAGGCTGCAGGGACCTGGGAGGGAGCAGGGACCTGGGAGGGAGCAGGGACCTGGGAGGGAGCAGGGACCTGGGAGGGAGCAGGGACCTGGGAGGGAACAGGGACCTGGGAGGCTGCAGGGACCTGGGAGGCAGCAGGGACCTGGGAGGCTGCAGGGACCTGGGAAGGAGCAGGGACCTGGGAAGAAGCAGAGACCTGGGAGGGAGCAGGGACCTGGGAGGCTGCAGGGACCTGGGAGGCTGCAGGGACCTGGGAGGCTGCAGGGACTTAGGAGGGAGCAGGGACCTGGGAGGGAGCAGGGACCTGGGAGACAGCAGGGACCTGGGAGGCTGCAGGGACCTGGGAGGCTGCAGGGACCTGGGAGGGAGCAGGGACCTGGGAGGGAGCAGGGACTTGGGAGGCAGCAGGGACCTGGGAGGCTGCAGGGACCTGGGATGGAGCAGGGACCTGGGAGGGAGCAGAGACCTGGGAGGCTGCAGGGACCTGGGAGGGAGCAGGGACCTGGGAGGGAGCAGGGACCTGGGAGGGAGCAGGGACCGGGAGGCAGCGGGGAGCACAGGGAGCTGCAGGCCCAGAGGGGAGGAGCCGGGCTCGGCCCAGCCCCCGGGAGGAGGGCGCACCGGCCACGCGCGCGCGCCCAGGGCGGCCACATCGGTTACCCGCGCGCGCAGGGGCGGGGGGAGCGGGGGTAAGAGCAGGCAGCCCCGGGGGAAATCGAGGCAGAGTGCGTCCCCGGGAGGCCGTTGCAACCCTCCGAGCAAGCGTGCTCCCCTCCCCTCCTCCCTCTCCCCTGTCCCCGGGGCGCGCAGTGGCCGCCAGCCCACCCCTCCGCCCCCTCTGCCCCCTCCCGCCGTCCACTGGGCAGCTTGGCTAAGGCGGCCAGATCGCCCAGGTGTTGGCGGGACAGTCCTGATTTCTAACAATTTTTCCCGTGACCCCGCGGCGTTTTAAAAAAAGTCCCGATGTTTGGAAAGATTGGAAACATTGGAGAGTCTTTCCAAACATCGGGACTTTTTTTTTTTTTTTTAAACGCCGCGGGACGCGGGGAAAAATTGTTAGAAATCAGGACTGTCCCGCCAACACCTGGACGATCTGGCCACCTTTTATGCTTGGCGCAGAGCGATGGGGGTTTTGAGAAGGGGAGACTTCCAGACCGGGAGGGACTACATTTGCTGGCAGATCCCCCAGGAAAAAGGCAGGACTGTCTTTTCCCTCCCCCGCCCCCAAACCCACTGGGTGGGAACTTGTGTGCTCTAGGCCCTGGGTCTGGAATCCTTTCCTCCAGCCCAAGGCCAAGCCCGCAGGACGACCCCCCAGCTGGGACCCCACAAAGCTCTCCAGGTCTGGGCAGGTCCCATGGGGCTTCTGGCTAAATGTTAAACTGAAGCTCAGAAACCGGTTTGGCTCAGTGGATGGAGCATCGGTCTGCGGACTGAAGGGTCCCAGGTTCGATTCAGGTCAAGGGCATGTACCTTGGTTGCCCTTGTAGGGAGTGTGCAGGAGGCAGCTGATCTATGTTTGTCTCTCATCCATGTTTCTAGCTCTCTATCCCTTTCCCTTCCTCTCTGTGAAAAAAAAAAAAAATCAATAAAATATATTTAAACTGTAGCTCAGGACTCAGCAGCTGCAGCAGCCACCTGCAGAGAATCACAGGGGATTGGAGCCAAGGTGTATGCCAGCCATGGCTAACCTGCAGAGTTTAGCAGTGAGTCCCGTGTCTTGTATTTGCTGCAGGTAAATAAAGCTACCTTTGCGTCAAGGATGGTTCGGCTCAGTGGATAGAGCGTGGGCCTAGGAGACGGAAGGGTCCCCGGGTTCGATTCCGGTCAAGGGCACCTGCTAGGGTTGAAGAGGCAGCCGATCAAGGGTTCTCTCTCATCATGGATGCTTCTCTCTCTCACGTCCCTCTCCCTTCCTCTCTGAAATCAATAAAAATATATCAAAACATTAAAAAATAAAAAAAAAAGATTGAGGAAGGGTGTCTGATGGCAAGGAGCCTGGGAGAATCCCATCAGGTTAGGAGGAGAAAACCGCTGGAGGGGGGAGGGGAGAGGGGAAGGGGGCCCCTGGGACCCTCTGGGCACTGGGCACCCCTGTGGACAGGCGCTGAGGCCAGACGGATGAGGGACGTTTTGCTAAGAGAGGGGTGGCAGAGGGGGAGGGTGACAGAGAACTTGGCTAAGTTCAGGGCGGGCTCAGAAGCACAGGGCAAAGTCTGGGTGTAGGGAGAGGGCTGGGGAGATAAACAAGACCAGATGGGAGAGAGAATTACCCTGTGCAGAAAGGAATGTGGACTTCACCCAGAGGATTAAAAAAAAAAGAGTAACATCTACTGATAGTAGAAACTGGGTGGCTAGAAATATGGGAGAGACGAGCACTTTTCAGTCCTACACACATTTACACCTTTTTTCTTTTTTCATTTTGAACCATCAACATTGTTACTTATTCCAAAAAAAAAATTGTTTTACAATATATTTTAAAATTATCCTACTTATGCCGAAACCGGTTTGGCTCAGTGGTAGAGCGTCGGTCTGCGGACTGAAAGGTCCCAGGTTCGATTCTGGTCAGGAGCATGTACGTTGGTTGTGGGCACATCCCCAGTAGGGGGTGTGCAAGAAGCAGCTGGTCAATGTTTCTCTCTCATCGATGTTTCTAGCTCTCTATCTCTCTCCCTTCCTCTCTGTAAAAAATCAATAAAATATATTTTTAAAAATAATAAAAAAATTATTCTACTTACAATCAGTCCTCCCATAATTTTTATGGAAAACTCCTAGTTTCTGCTGGTTCATATCAGAAGTTTTTTTTTTGTTTTTTTTTTTAAAGGTATAACAGCCGAAACCGGTTTGGCTCAATGGATAGAGTGTCAGCTTGGGGACTGAAAGGTCCCGGGTTCGATTCCAGTCAAGGGCATGTACCTTGGTTGCGGTCATATCCCCAGTGGGGGGTGTGCAAGCTGATTGATGACTCTCTCTCATCGATGTTTCTAACTCTCTATCTCTCTCCCTTCCTCTGTAAAAAAATCAATAAAATATATTATTTAAAAAAAGGTATAACAAGTTTTAAAAAATCAGTATAACAAGCAAATACAAGTGGGAAAACTCAGAAGTGACCGAGGACACCTGTCAAATAGGTCCCTCTCTGTGACTTTTACATTTTCTACAACAAACACGTTCCTGTTCACCGGACGGCGCCTTGTGGGTGGGTTGGAATAATCTACTCTTCAATGTTTCATCTTTCCAGAAATCAAGGCTTGGGGCTCTGGCTCTCAACTCTGGCCTGCCTCCTGTTGTCTTTGGCTTGTAGCTTTGGTTTGGTTTGGCTTTTTTTTTTTTTTTTTTCAATAATCAACTTCCTCCCGCTTGTCCTGAAAAACCGAAATAGCTGGTCCTGCAAGATCTGTATTCTTCAGGACAACAGTCAGCTGGACCTGATGGCGTCACCCCAACCATGGAGCACCCCAGTTCCCACCTCCCTGAGTTCAACCCCAGCCCCTGACCTGAGCCTTTGGGTCCAGGGCGGCTGTCTCCTGCAGTTGTTCCACCAGGGGGCGCCGCCACCAGCATTTTGGCAAAGAGGGAAAGGAGGGAGAGTAGGGAGGGGAGGGTGTGCCTGCAGCTGGTTCTTTGGGGCCCAGAAAGGAAGTTCTCCTTTCCTTCCTGGGGAGCAAATCCTGAGCGCAGCTTCCCTTGACCCAGCTCAGGGAAGAGAGGGGCCTGCGAGTGACCTGGAGGCCAAGTGCTTGGCAATCCACTGGGGAGAAGCAAAGCCACGCTGTCTGCGGCCCCCGGCATTTGGACCATCACACTGAGGTCCCCGCAGGCCTGGGGGGCAGGAGGCTGGCAGGCCCTCAGGGCCATCCTGAGTGGGAAGTAGGATGAGGTGTCTGTTCCCGAACCAGCAGAGACATCCAGTCCCTTCTCGCCGGAGACATGGAGTCCCCTGCCTCCCTGAAGGAGGGCCCCACCCCAAGAGAGGCAGCTCCCCCCTTGGCGGCCTCCCACACTTGCCCTTTGAGGAAGGAGGAGGAGAAGGAGGAGGAGGAGGAGAGAGATGCCTGGAATGTGTGGCTTCAGGCGGGGAGCAAGCAATGGGGACCGGCCAGAAGAAAGAGGTGGAATGTGTCTGTCTTAGCCAAGCCCCCCTGTAAGGCGACCTTCCTTCCACCAGTTGGGACTGGGCGTCTCCCTGTGTATCTGGGGCACCGTCATATCTCAGCTGATACCTGATCAATCAATAGATACCTGATCAATAAATAGCCAGCCGAAACCGGTGTGGCTCAGTGGATAGAGCGTCGGCCTGTGGACTGAAAGGTCCCAGGTTCGATTCCCGTCAAGGGCATGTACCTTGGATCCCCGGTTGGGGGTGTGCAGGAGGCAGCTGGTCGATGTTTCTCTCTCATGGATGTTTCTACCTCTCTGTCCTTCTTCCTTTCTCTCTGTGGAAAATCAATAAAATCAATCAATCAATCAATCAATAAACAAATAAATAAATATAACTTAAAAAAATAGGTACTCCAAGGAATTCATCGGGATGGGGGGTGAGGGTGAGGATCACCTCTATCCCTCGGACATCAAGGGCAACGTCGCCGAGGGGGCTTAAGCTGATGACCCTGAGGGCCAGGGACCTTCTCGCCCCCATGTTCCTTCCATGACCATGACCGAGCCCCCCTGTCTTTGCAGCTTTGCCTCTGAGGAGGTTATCAGCCCGGATGCAGAATCCCGCTTCCCCTCCCCTTCCCAGCTGCTGTGTCTCTGCCATTGTTTTCCTTGGCAGGCTTGGCCTTTCATCTCAGCCCCGCTGGGCTGGGAGAGGGGGAGGAAGGACTGGGCCCGGATAGGTTTGGGGGAAGGGGGATGGCCAGGGAAAGAATGTCCTTGCCCGCTGGGATGGCCTCCAACCCCACAAAAATAGGATGAAACAAAGTGTCTCGCACAAAATAGCCTCCATTTCCCCCCGGCTCTTTCATCCTATTTATTTACGAACCACACCTTGAACTTCAGGAATGTGGATAGAAAATTGTTCACGTGTTCCCCAGGGAGAGGGAATTCCACCTAATCCTCCTAATAGTCTGGGCCAAATGTGGTGGTGGAAGCCACAGAGTCTAGCGGAAAGATCATCTGAATAGCCCTAGTGCGGGTGTGGCTCAGTGGACAGAGCGGCGGCCTATTGGCCAAAGGGTCCCAGGTTCCATTCCAGTCAAGGGCACGTACCTCGGGGTTGCAGGCTCCTCCTCAGCCCCGGGTCCTGGTCAGGGTACGAGAGGCATCCAGCCCATGTGTCTCTCTCACGTGGATGTGCCTCTCTGTCCTTCCCTCTCTCTTCCACTCTCCCTTGAAATCAATGGAAAAATATCCTCGGGCGAGGATTAACAAAAATAAATAAAACATCTTATAAAAATAAAAGAGCCGAAACCGGTGTGGCTCAGTGGATAGAGCGTCGGCCTGCGGACTGAAAGGTCCCAGGTTCGATTCCGGTCAAGGGCATGTACCTTGGTTGCGGGCACGTCCCCGGTAGGGGGTGTGCAAGAGGCAGCTGATCGATGATTCTCGCTCATCGATGTTTCTAACTCTCTATCCCTCTCTCTTCCTCTCTGTAAAAAAAAATCAATAAAATATATTTAAAAAAAAAAAAAAAAAGAGGACCATCTGGTTAGATAGCTGGGAGGAAGAAAGAGGGAGGAGGGAGGAGGGAGGAGGGAGGGAAGGAGAAGAAAAAGGAGATGGAAGGTGGGGTCAGAATCTGCAGGGCCTGAGCTGTGCCCTGCAGGGCTCCATGCACGAGAGAGGCCTCTCCCCATGTGTCAACGGCGGGGACCATGACACGCGTGTCCATGTGCTGTGGTGAGGATCAACCCCACGTAGAACTGAACACCTAATGGCCTGGATTTCCCTGCCTCACAGGCCCCTGCCCCCCACAGGGCTGAATGTGTCTGTCCAGCGTCCAGCAGACTCCGATGCCAGCGGAGACCAAGGGGAGTGTCCGGCAAGTCCCAGCCTCCCCCAGAGGCCAAGGTCAGGGCCGGGGCCAGCCACGGTACTGCTCACTAGGCTCCAAGGTGAAAACGGTAACAATGGCTCAGGAAATAGTGTGGCCGCAGCCGCAGCAAGCCCAGGTAATAATAGTTCTGGCCCAGCGGAGCAGCATTGTACACGTGGAATGGCTTGGCCTTGAGCTGGAAAGACTTCAACCTTCTTCCTTCCGTTCCTTCCCCCGCTGGTGCCGTCTCTGTTGCTCCGGCCAGAAGCTGAGAGAATTGTGGTTCCTCGCTTTCCCCCACCCCTGCACCCACCTCGGCCTACCTACCCCGTTACTTCTGTTTTCTCCATAGGCTCTGGGACCCAACCCCTCCCATCTCCCCAGACAGAGGCCATTCCTCCTGAACAAGCCCCCACTAAGATCCCCTCAGAGGTCCCGCCTGGCCCTGGCCGGTGTGGCTCAGTGGTTGAGCATCCTCCCATGCACCAAGAGGTCACCTGTTCAATTCCTGGACAGGACACATGCCCAGGTTGTGGGCTCCATCCCCAGTGGGAGGAGTGCAGAAGGTGGCTGGTACACGTTCTATTCTCACATTCGTGTTTCTCCCTCCCTCCCTTTCTCTCTCCTAAAATCAATAATAACATACGTACTTTAAAAAAAGAAAGAAGTCCCCCCCTCTATCAACAATAGACACTGTTGATCTTTCTCTCTCTCTCTCTCTCTCTCTCTCTCTCTCTCTCTCTCTCTCTTTCTCCCCCCCCTCTCTTTCTCTCTCTGTTCCTCTCTGAAATCAAATAAAATATTTAGAAAAATAAAACTATGTTTTTATTGATTGCCGAGAGAGGAAAGACGGAGATAGAGAGGTAAAAACATCAATGAGGAGAGAGAATCATGGATCAGCTGCCTCCGGCACGCCCCACCCTGGGGATCGGCCCGGGGCATGCGCCCTTGACCTGGAATAGAACTGTGACCTGTGACCTCCTAGCTCACAGGTCAATGCTCATCCGCTGAGCCACACGCGCCAGGCAAGGACTTATTTTCGTTTTTAGCAAATGCATGAGCCGAGGCTCCTGCACACCGAAGCCCATCCATCCTGCTGGGCTTCTAGAAGATTCTAGAGAGTGGCCCCACCTTTACGAGCCAACCAGAGCACCAGGTGAGTCAGGGCCTCTTTCCTGGGGCCTGGGCCTCAGCCGCACCGGGCTGGTCCCTGACGGGCCCTCACCTGCTGAGTGAAGTCCTCGCTTTGGGCATCTGGCTAATGCAAAGGCCACAAAGGGCGCAAAACAACCATCTTCACGCACAGAAATTAAATCAACCGCGGTTTTTATTTACATAACCGGCCGTGATCAGGATACAAAAGACGCCTCAAAGGCCTAACACGTAGGAAAAGAGCTCTGACCCCCCATTCTCAATGGGGCGCGGGCCTGGGGATTGGAGAGACGCCGCCGGAGAGAAAGAAAAGGCACAGAAGGTGGTGGCCAGCACGGGCGGCCCCTTCGGGGAGTGCAGAGAGTTCCGGGCTGAGCGAGTCTGAAGTTCATTGTCTGACCCAGGAATCTGGCTCCTGGCACAGACTAGACTCTGTGAGGTTCAACTTTTGGAATTCCTGGGTTAATGCTTAACCAGCCTTCCAGAAGTCCAGGGCCAAGTGAACTTGGCCTGATAGTGTCTCTAAGATGGGGGCGGCGGGGGGGTAGGGTAGGGGTGGAGGTGCGAGGTGGGGGAAGGTCTTTTTGCAGTGGCCTCCGTAGCTCCTGTCCTTTCTGGGGTCACCTTTCAGGGACCCAGGGGCCGTCTCAGGGGCTGCTCAGCATCCCTGGACCACTTCCAGCAACTGGTCCCTCCCCCCTTCCTCCTTTCTTCCCTCCCTCCCTCTCTCCCAGGTTCCTTCCCAGGATCAGCAGACTCAACTCTCCCACTAAACACAACTTTGCTTTTTCTTCCTCTTCTTCATCCTTCTCCCCTCTCCCCCCCAGCTCCCGGGGGGCCAGGCCTGCTGTAATATCCTCCTGTGTGATAACTGTGTGATAACGTCCATCCTTTGGGCTTGAACTAGAACATCTGTTTTCTCTCGTCCACACAGACACGAGTGACGCTGGCATTGGGTCCCAGTTCACTCACCGTGTGCCTCCCAGCCTTCGCTCCCCAGCAATGGCTCTCTCTCCCGCTCCCGTTTCCTTCTCTGTCCATCTGTCTGTCTGCCCACCGTCCCCGCTCCGCGGGGCTACCTGGTTGGGCTCGATGGCTGGAATGAGAGCATGGGGGTCTCCAATCCCCCAGCAATGACGAGCTTGGACTTTCAGAAATTCCGGGAACAAAGGACAGTGGCCGATGGCCGGAGCTGGTGGAGGGCCTGGGGTGAGGGACCTCCTGTCTCCCACCTCCTTGGCCAGGGGACCCATCTGTAGCTGGGTCACGCTGGGGGGTGTCAGGACCATGCTCACCTTGACCTTGGAGTCCAGGTGAGATGTGGTCCAAGTGGGCATCACAGAAGAGGGAAGGATGCCAGCAAAACAGACAACATGAACTCAGGAGCCTTCAACCTTCCCCTCTCCTCCTGCCAAAGGCCCAAATCCCGGTACTGGGTCTCTACTGCTCTCCTCCAACCTCCTTCCTGTCCTGTTTCTACTTCCTTCCTGTGCCCGCCTCCCACTTCCTGCTTCCTTCTCTACGTCCTACGTTCTCACTCCCAGATGTGGCATCTCCCTGGCTTCCGGGACAAAGCCCCCTTCCGACGGCTTGGCCCAGAGACGCCGGGCTGATGCTGCTGGCACCTGGGTCGGGGCAGCACCAGCCACGTGTGTACCCCCTCACCAACCCTGCCCACCACGCAGCCCGCACCTGAACTTGCCCTTCTCCCTCCCCTCAGCCCCCCAGCACGTCCATGTCACCCTGGCGATGACAAGCGTATATCTACTTTAAACAGTCATGATGCCTTGTCAATCAACCCAGCTTCCGAGTGTCATGGCCTTCAAAGGGATGTCACTTCCTCCTTCTCAGGCCTGAGTGAGATTCAACTCCTGGCGATGGAGGGCAGAAGAGGAGAGGGGGGGAGGACTCCAGTGTCGTGGCCTTCAAAGGGATGTCACTTCCTCCTTCTCAGGCCTGAGATTCAACTCCTGGCGACCGAGGGCAGAGGAGGAGAGGGGGGGAGGACTCCAGAAGCAAGCCAGGCTGCCCGGGCTGTGAGCGCCTGTCAGCCTGCAGCCTTCCCAGGAGAAGGCAACAAATGTCCTCACTCCGGGTTCAAGTCCTCCCTCCCCATCGTCTCCACGGTGCTCCCACTGAGAAGGCTTTGCCTCCACCCCAGCCAGCCCCGCCAGCCTCCAAGGATGAACAAACTGAACTCGGACCCCAAACCAACATCAGCCCAATTCTCTGCGGGACTGTCCACTGGAGAGAGAGCTCGGCAGATGGCCCATTCGGATCACGCGTCCCATTCAAACGGCAAAGACTGTTTTGTTTTGTTTTGTTTTGTTTTGTTTTCTCCAGGTTGTTCTGTGGATTCAGGTCCGAGGTGCTCTGGGTTTGCAGGGCTCCGAGAGCAGAGGCTGGAATCGGACGGTGAGGTGACCCGTGGCCTCCCGGGTCCCAGGCCAGCGCTCGGCCACGCCGGGCCCTCAGCGGCCCCGCTAGCGGACGAAGGACACCACGCTGGTGGCCACGGCGAACGGGGCGGAGTAGGCGGCGGCGAAGCCCTGCAGGCCGAGGACCACGTAGTGGCAGCCTTTGGCGAGGACCTTCCCCACGTTCTGTGTTTAGGAATTGAGACAAAAATAAATAAATAAATAAATAAATAAATAAAGCAAAGAATTCGGTCAGGGGGCGTCTGCAGGGGGGGGCATCCCGGGAGAATCATCTTTTGCTTCCTTCTCTCCCGGGGGCACATGAGCCAGTTACCATGTCTGTCTCACACCCACCCCGACCTGGGACCCTGTGGGGACTCAGGACAGGGGTCACTGAATCAACGTGCTTTCAAGCTCCTCGTATTTCCAGATCATTCCGAGATCTTGGGGGCAGTAGACGGGCTGCTGGCTCAGAAACCAAACTGGTTTTTTTTTTTTTTCCTTCTTTTTTTTTAAAAAAAATATATATATATTATTGATTTTTTTTACAGAGAGGAAGGGAGAGGGAGAGAGAGAGCTAGAAACATCGATGAGAGAGAAACATCCATCAGCTGCCTCCTGCACACTCCCCACTAAGGATGTGCCTGCAACCAAGGCACATGCTCTTGACTGGAATCGAACCTGGGGCCGTTCAGTCCGCAGGCCGACGCTCTAGCCACTGAGCCAAACCGGTTGCAGCCAAACCGGTTTTGGTTTATTTATTTATTTTTTTAACCAAAGCTGACTCCTCCTCTGTTGCAGGTGTTATCAGATCGTCGGAAGGCTGGGTCTAGGATTCCTCGAGTTCTCTTATCCCAGACCCAGCCCTGTCCTCTCTACCAGCAGGACAGAGCGCTGAGCAACCCACAGGTGGGTCTCCTTTAAGGCTCTGAGCGCTGCATTCAGAGAAGTCTGCGTTTCAGACACAGTCACACACTCCTAGAGGGTGAGGACTGGGCCGTATTTTCTTTCTTTTTAAAAAAAATACATTGTTATTGATTTCAGAGAGGAAGGGAGAGGGAGAGGGAGATAGAAACATCAATAAGGAGAGAGAGAGCCGAAACCGGTGTGGCTCAGTGGATAGAGCGTCGGCCTGCGGACTGAAGGGTCCCAGGTTCAATTCTGGTCAAGGGCGTGTACCTTGGTTGTGGGCACATCCCCGGTAGGGGGTGTGCAGGAGGCAGCTGGTCGATGTTTCTCTCTCATGGATGTTTCTAGCTCTCTATCCCTCTCCCTTCCTCTCTGTAAAAAAAAAAAATTAATAAAATACATTAAAAGAAAAAAGCATCTTCGGAGCCAGCGTCGGAGCTGAGAAGGGCACCGAATCTGCTCACCTTTTGCTGAGAGCAAGAATGGCTGCCTGAGCCAGGCCAGAACCAGGAAGCAAATGGTGAGTCTTGGCGGGACTCCCCGCCTCCGAGTCCCGCTTCATCACGTGTGCATTCCCGTGTTTATAACTGCCTGCCTGCAGGCTGCTCCCCAGGCTGCAGCCATACCTCTAGGGAGGAGGGTACACCTAAGCTGGTTCCACGCAGGAGAAGGGCAGGAGAAGGGCGGCTGCAGGGCCCAGGAATCCCGGACAATAAACCAGCAGGGCCTGTGGCCTTTGGCCACTAAGGAACTCATCTGTGATTTCTCCTCTGGGCGCCCTGTCCGGCCCCAGGGGGCAGGGGCAGCAGTAGCTTCAGATGCTACCAGGCTGATGCCAAGGAGGAAATTCCTTCATTCTCTCTCTCTCTCTCTCTCTCTCTTTCTCTCTCTCTCTCTCTCTCTTCTTGGCCTCCCACCCCGGGGCCAACGGCATTCTTTTTGCAGGTGCCTATCTGTGTCTTTGTCCAGCTCCCAGGCCCTTTGAAATAACCTTGGGGATAGTTGGGGGCAAGAACTCAGGTCTCAGCGGGCGGGCTCTCCTGGGGAGGAGGATGCAATCCACACTTTGCAACTGGCACACCTGCCCACGCCCAGGCCTCAGTTTCCCCACCTGCCCAGCCCACAGGGGAGTGTCAGACACCACACACACACACACACACACACACACACACACACACACACACACACCTCAGAAGGGAACCGGCTTGGGGAGCCACCCTGGGGACTGTCCTTACCCAGCCAGCAGCGGGTGGGTGCCTAGGGGCGCCTCGGCGTTAATTTCTCTCCTTATTGGAAACCTTTCTTTCATTTCCCAGGTCACAGGGGGACAGTCGGGGGGAGTTGAGTGGGGAGTGCTGGAGGGAGGGCGGTTGTGGGGAGCCGGAGGGCAGAGGGGAGCGCAGGAGGCTGAGCGCAGGGGACGCGGGGGTGGAATCCGTTCCCCATGGGAAGACCGGGGCGCACCCCGCACCCCGATCCCGGGCAGTGGGGGCGGGGCCTACCTTGCCGTACTTCTTCAGCTTCCGCCGGTACCTCCTCTTGGGCTTGTCCCCCGGCCCCGGGGACCCCGGGGACCCCGGCTCCTCCAGCGGCTCGTAGCGCTCGGGGAGGGCGGCCAGGTGCACCCGCCGGGCGCTGCGGGGCCCCGGGCGCGCGGGGCTCTCGGCCGCCCCGTCGTCCAGCTCCAGCTGCTCCACGATGGGCTCCTCGTCCGCCGCCCGCCGCCCGCGCCCCCGGCGCCCCCACCGGAGCCTGGCACCCACCGCCATGACGCCGCCGCGGCCCCTCTCTCTGGCGCAGGTCCGGGTGTGAAGGCACCAACCTTTGCTCCCAGTCCCGGGCGGGCGCCACCCCGGCCCGGCCCGGACGGGGCGGGGGGGAACCTGAGGGCGCGGCGCCCCCTGGCGGTGGGGTCCGGGATTGCAGCGGCCCCAGCCAAGGCCTGGCCGTGCCGGGCCCACCCTCCCTCACCAAGGGGTGAGGGACATGCACCCGGAAAGGTCAATGCACCATGAACTGCTTCACTCGCCGTGAAATAAATGAACTTCAACCGTGTCACTCGCCACGAAATAAATGAACTTCCAGTGATGCGTCTCAGCCCCCATGCTGGGCAGGTTCTGGCCAAAACAGGTCAGAGGGCAGGAGAGTTCTTCCCTCGCTGGGACTGCCCCAGGGGTGTCCCCCCTGGGCCTGGCACCTTCCTTGGTTCTTTGGGATCCCCTATGGGACACTCTACTCTCCTGCCCATGACCCAGCAAATGCCCCCTGGCTCCCCCGCTACCCACTCCCTCACCACCTCCATCAGGCCGGGGGTATCTCTGGCTGCTGCTCAGTGAGGCAGGTCCTCCCTGGAACTCCATCACCTTCTCCATCACCTCTGCTCCTGCAGCCATGACGCCCACCTCCCGCCCAAGGATACGATCTGTGTTTGCGGTGCAGCGTCGCACCTGTGTTTGCCCCGGACCCAGAGTCTCTGGAATCATTTTCCATCGGAAGCAGAACCAGAAGTTCCCTGTGGGTAGAGCTTCTAAGTGGGATATCTGACGCTTAAAAAGAATTCTTTCACAATATAATGGGTTCTCTCTCGTTTATCCAAACGACGCTGAAGACTTGGAAAATGACTGAGCTATATGCATTTAATATTGAGAATAGAAGGATATTTGTATGGAGAAATGAGGTCAGAATTATGACCTTATGCGCCAAAAGAGTATGTTTAACATTATTTAAAATGTTTTTAGAGAGAGAAAGGAAGAGAGAGAAAAACATCACTTTGTTGTTCCACTCATCCATGCACTCATTGGTTGCTTCTTGTTTGTGTCCTGACCAGAGATCGAACCCACAACCTTGACACATTGGGAAGATGCTCTAACCAACTGAGCTATCCAGCCATGGCTAAGAGAGTATTTCTAACAAAACCTGAAAAATCTGCATTGGTATATAGTCACTCTTGCCAACGGTATTCCATTCTAACACATATACTTACATACATATGCATAGTCTGTGTATGTATAGGGTGTCACAAAACATATACACACAAGGCTACCTGGGCCAGTTAAAGAATTCCTTTGGCTAAACAGTGACATTCTAACCACCCTAGAAACACTCATGACTACAAATAATGGAAATAAATTGAGTCAATGAAAAGCCATTGGTGCATCCCAGTATTCTAAGAGAAATCAGTGTTATGATATTAAAAGAACATGACTATCAAAGGCTATATTGTTTTCAAGGATCATTTTCATGATCTGCACGTTTTTTGGTCCTGCCTGCTAGATTTGCACAAGATGAGAAAAATGCCGAATTCCAACCAGTTTAGAAAACTTATGAAGCATTACATTTGGATATGAGGGTCCCATGGCATGGGACTGGATGCCTCTGCAGTCAGATGGAAAGTCATTTAAATAATCCGAAAAGGGCAAAATCCGCTGAAGAACTGAAGGATGTTAACCTCAAGTCTGTGAGTAGACAGAATAAGATGTGGTCTTCATTTAACCCAGAGAATGTGGGCCACAAGAGCAAGCACTTTGGGGTGCAGTGGGGTCTCTGTTTTATGTACAGGTCCACAAGTTGCAACTATTGTGGGTGGTAAGACTGAGCAATGCATACAGGATGGGGTTTTCTCTGCCCCCTTGTGGTTCTGTCTGGTAATGACTGGAACCAACTATTATTTCCATGTGTCAAAAAGTTTAGAAAAGCCCTAGCCAGGTTTGGCTCAGTGGATAGAGCAACCACCAGCAGACTGAAGGGTCCTGGGTTCGAGTCCGGTCAAGGGCACATGCCAGGTTGTGGGCTCGATTCCCAGTAGGGGGTGTGCAGGAGGCAGCTGGTGGATGTTTCTCTTTCATCGATGTTTCTAACTCTCTATCCGTTTCCACCCCTCTCTGTAAAAAAAAAAAATCAATAATATATATATTTAAAATAAAAATATGAAGCAATTTCCCAGTCTGCATTCATGTCTGTCCATAGTTAAGTAACACCTTTTCACAAACCGAACTCTAGTTGAAAATCAAGAACACATTACCACTCCTTCTGCTCTTTACCCAAAGCTAAGGGCTTGGGCCAGCCCAGCCTTCCTGGCCCGTTTACAAACAACTGAGGAGAAAATAAATGATGTCCGTTATATGCCTATTGTGAGGCCTTTTAATTTTCAAATAATAATAATAATAGCCAAAACCGGTTTGGCTCAATGGATAGAGCGTCGGCTTGGGGACTGAAGGGTCCTGGGTTCGATTCCGGTCAAGGGCATGTACCTTGGTTGCGGGCACATCCCCAGTAGGGGGTGTGCAAGAGCCAGCTGATCGATGACTCTCTCTCATCGATGTTTCCAGCTCTCTATCTCTCTCCCTTCCTCTCTGTACAAAAATCAATAAAATATATTTAAAAAATAATAATAATAATAGAAAGAAGGCATGTTTCACTTGGTGGAAAAACAGGCTGTAAGAAAACTGCAGGGAAAGTAGAAAAAGGAACTGTCTTTTTATTTTTTAAAAATATATTTTATTGATTTTTCACAGAGAGGAAGAGAAAGGGATAGAGAGTTAGAAACATTGATGACAAAGAATCATTGACCAGCTGCCTCCTGCACACCCCCTACTGGGGATGTGCCCGCAACCAAGGTCAATGCCCTTGACCGGAATTGAACCTGGGACCTTTCAGTTCTCAGGCCAACGCTCTATCCACTGAGCCACACCGGTTTCAGGGGGAACGTTCTTTTTAAAGAGGGAGCAGGGGTGACATGGATGCTGGAGATACTGAATGCCATCAGTGGGAATCGCCTGTCGTGTGTCCAAGTCCGAGCTGAGGCTGCCAATCAGGGCTTTAGTGACCTGCTCCTTAGCAACCTGCGTGGGCCTTGGCGGTCCCTGGAATAAGTGGCTCATCTCAGGCACGTGTCTGACACCCGTGACTAACATCAAGCCTCTTCTCGCGTTTTCCTTCCACCGAAAGGGTCTTTTCCGGCCTCCCTCGGACATTTGCTCCATCCCTGCCATCTCTCAGAATCCATCCATTCCTGGTTGGGTGTGTGTTTTTGCTGGCGTGTACACTTGGTCTTCCAGAATGAATCAAAGTCTTGGAGAAGAGGAACCGTCTTTGACAATCCCTTTATATTTCTTAAGACGCAGTAGGTGCCTCAATAGATATTTTAGGAATCGAGGCTGGGACCATCTTGATGGATGAACACGTGCTGATGGAATTACGTATCTAGAGGGAATTGGTGCTTCGCTCGTGTGGATTCTGGTTGCCCACATTGGGAAATGGAACTGCTGGGGAAAATCTCTTCATCGTCAGGCCTTTAGGATTTTCAGGAAAATCCTACCTTCGAGAATATGATTGGGTCCAAGTTCTGGGACATAGTTCGTTTTATTTATCAAATTTTAACTTTTCAACTTAATACTGCGCCCCAGGCTTTACGTGACAATTAACTTAATATTAGGGATGTTATAGCAAATAATATTTAAACAGAGACCAAGGATAGCCTGATATCACATAGCCAGTGAGCATACACTGGTTATTTATTGATGCGAACATATTGTAAAGTTCCTCTGAATCTTCAAGAAAATGTATGTTGTTAATGAAATATATAACACTGAAAATCTAAAGTGACTCTCCAGGGGACATTCGTATTACTTTCAACAATAAACATTTTTTAAAGAATTTAAAAATAATAAAGTGACTATCAAGATGTCATTGTTGTTTCATAAAAAATATTCAAGTAAACTTCCTTCCCACAAACATAGAAGAGTTGACCAGAGAAAGTATAAAAAACAAACAAACACCAGTTTCTATGTTGGAAAAGGCGTGATGTCAGTGTTTATAAAACCATTTAGACAGTAGGAGCTGCTATAAAAAGATGAGCGATTTCTTGCTGTGACATCCTGCTAACCTACATAGCGTCATCCGCTGCCAACCGAATGGAGAACACACGAATTAACCCCCCCCCCCGCCCCCCACCTTCTGTCCTAGAAAACAGGTCATTCGCATTCCGGCAAAGAGCAAAAGACAAGTGCTTTATTATGAGAACTGTTCAAGTAAAGTTTCAGTGTGCACCAGTGGAAGTGAAAAGAATTTGCATCAATTGTTTGGGAATGAACGCTAGGTGAACAGGGGGCTAACACAGTGGCTGTTTTCCGAACACCACCCTCGGCTAAGGCAAAAAGATAAAATAAAAAAAAAATACACTTGGTTTTTTGAACAGAACTGGTACAGAAGAGAGCTTACAACACAGTACAGTACAGAAGGTAAAAATCCACCCGAGTCTGGAGGCCACGGGGAATGGCACGTCCCCTACCGAGAGCCGTCTCACGTGGGCGGGGATTACAGTATTTGTCACAGCTTTCGTGTTCTGCAGACTCAGAAGACTTGAAGTACACTCTCTGTGTGCGGAGGGCGCCCGTGTGAAGATAGTACAGTCATGACAGCATTCAATAACATTGCACAGTCAACCTTTGAGGCTCATTCCGTATAAAGTAATGGGTATAAAAATGTACCTTGACGAGTGGTTTTACATCGCAGGGATCACTCAGGAGGAAAGGAAACGAGGCAAATGCCCCATTACAAAGCCACGCGCGTTCTAGGCATAACGAGGTGGAATAAATACATGAAATCTGGCAAAATCGTAAAAACAGAGAGGTTACGTGGGAACCGAATGAACGACCGCATGAGTGTAAATCAGAAAGATGCTGCTATCAATAGTATATTTTGCTCCATAGTCTCCTAAGGACTCACAGATAGATATCATTGTATCGGGGGTGGAGGAAGAGGAGCATGGGAGAAGGAGGCAGGCAACCCCAAATGCCAGTTAATTCCTGAGGTGGCATTATTTCTCAACTGATGCACTGACCAACACTGGGAAGATGAGTTTGTGCTATGAAACAGTCCGCTATTATTATATTCCCACAAGGACACTGCAGTATTGGGAAGGCAGCAAATCTATAATATTGCGATATAATAGCCAGGTAAGGTATTGATACTTTTTCATTTTGCTGCTACCATTAGCAGAGGGTGAGAAAACACTTTTTTCAAGTTCAAAAGACACTGGGTGCAGTTTTCACTTCCCCTCAGTACTTCTTAGTGAGCTCAAGGCAAAGCTAATAACGTATTTTCATGGGCTCTATTTTAAAAACTCTAAGCGCCAACACTGTAAACATGTCGTAACGTCTCAACTAAACCTTGTCTGGTGACAAGGATAAGAGCAAAGAGAAGCAGGGATGATTCTGTGTGGAATAAAGCTCATCTAGGGGTCAGCTTCTGGCTTCCATTTCAATACGACTTGAAAATAATTTTTTTTTTTTTTTTAAAGTCCATGCTACAATCGTAAAGACTACTGCTGTGCACTTCCAATTCTGGACACAGTCACCTTCAAGATTACATGATGGAGGTAAGAATTTTAAAAACCCACCAGAATGTAAAGAACAGGGAAGAATAGTCTCATCTCAGAGCATCAAACGTACATTTCTGTGCAGAAATCTAGACAACTATACAAGTTTTTGAAGCAATCGTCTGTTTTATTATTATACAACTCTATGAACAGAAAACGAACAGAAATACACAGTATACTTACCTGTACAGGTGAACCTAACTCTTTTTGTAGCTACAGATATTTATGATATAGTTCGTACTGACTTGAATTGTACGGTCCGTAAACTATGTATAACCTTATCGTGTTAAGGGCAGATTCTACACGGGTGACTCGCAGGCCCAAAACCATCGCGTTGGGCGTTACCCAGGCGCATTGGAGAAACGGTACCTCCCTCATTCGGCCGTGTTTTCCCTGAACCCGCCAAGTGGAGTTCCCTCACAGTTTGAGCTCGTTGGCTATTTTCGACGCGATGTTCTTGAAGGCGATGGACGTCCCGGAGATCCGCTTGAAGCGCACTCCGTTCAGCGACAGCCGCGGCAGCTTGCACACCTCCATCTCCCACTGCACCAGGCTGTCCTGCCTGGCGTCGCCGTGGACGCAGAAGAGCAAAAACCTCTCCTTCTGTTCGTAGTCGCAGTTGTTGGCGTCCAGCACCTTCCGGATCTCGCGCATCATGTCGGCGGGGTCCATGGAGCTCGTGGTCTTCATGCTCCAGGTGAAGCGCAGGGAGCGTGGCTTGGGGTCCTTCCCGTCCTCCTTGTCTCTCTCCTTCGGGTCCCCGGATGTGCTTCTGGAGGAACAGGGCACAGGGAGAGAACCCAGAGAAGGTTCCGTTCAGCACAGAGATGGAGATGTGCACGCAAATGCGCGGGGGTCGGGATTCAGCGCTTCCTAAGTCAGTCTACTGTGCAGACTACCGTCAGGCAGGAGCAAAAGCTCATGTCATCTCGCTGTTACAGAAAGCGGCCCCAGGATGCCCCCCGTTTGACTTCCTTAATAGCTTCCATCTAAAACAGCATATTTCCAGCCGAAACCGGTTTGGCTCAGTGGATAGAGCGTCGGCCTGCGGACTGAAAGGTCCCAGGTTCGATTCCGGTCAAGGGCATGTACCTTGGTTGCGGGCACATCCCTGGTAAGGGGTGTGCAAGAGGCAGCTGGTTGATGTTTCTCTCTCATTGACGTTTCTAGCTCTCTATCTCTCTCTCTTTCTCTCTGTAAAAAAACCAATAAAATACATTTTAAAAATAGCATATTTCCGTAAACGTACGTATTTGTGGGGAACAGGTTTGCAGCCGGAAGTGAAGAACTGAGTACTTTTTGAGGTCCTTCCACAGTTTCTATTTAAAACTCCATTTTCTGTACATTTGTACAAAAGAAGAGCCACCAGCGCTGTGCTTGTGCGTACACGATTTTGAAATATAAAGAAAAATTCCCCCTTCTCTTTGTTTCGGGGGGGAGGGGGGTAGGAGAAAGACTTGGGACAGGATAGTAGCAATGGGCACTACCTGATAATGAAGAAAAGAAGGTTGTATTGCAAAGAAGTAAAGACGCCAGGCTGTACCACACACAGGAGTGAGGGCAACGGGTCCTCAAACCGTGCCAATGCTTTGCTGAAGACATCCTCAAAACAGCCTACAAGGCTCCACACACCTACACCCCAACTCCTCGCCCTGCCCCTCGCCACTGGGACTGTCCTCTTCCCTCCCTCCCCACACGCACCGGCCTCCATACTGTTCCTGGGACCTACGGGCTCTGGGCTGGCCTTGAGGCTTTTGCACCAGAGTAGATGAGTGACACGTGTTTCTTAAGCGCGTCAACCTCACTGAATTTTCCTTACTGTAGATCGCCCATGAATAATACAGAGCCAGAAAACCCATTTCACAGAATCCCAGAGAGGTAAACGTAGTAGATTTGATGATTCGGAATACCCTGTAATTACATTTGATGAGCAAGTATTCAAATATAGATGTTATAATTTTAGTCTGCTAACCCATCTCACCGACATGTGATTTAAAGTAGTGGTACACTTTGAAAATATAATCTACTATCTACATATATTAAACATCTTATATCAACATTATCCTATAATGTATACTCATGTATACATTTATATATATGAACTTTCAGGGATGCGTGTATATTCATTTTTTTAATTTAATTTAATTTTATTTATTTTTACATATATTTTTTAATTTTTTTTTGCCCCCCCTCCCTCCCTCCCACAAATCCCCTCCCTCCCCAGAGTTTTATGTCCATTGGTTGTACTTATATGCATGTATACAAGTCCTTGGGTTGATCTATTATCTCCCCCAGAGTGTGTATATTCATGCTTCCCCCCTAATTCCTAGGCATCTGAACCCCCAAAGCTCTGCAAACTATGCAAGCTTGAAAAAAACAAAAAAACAAAAAAACAAGGGAAGAAGTAAATAGAGAAAAGAAATCTCCAAAGACTAGGAACTAAGTATAGAGCACATTTATTCCAATGTCTTCTCCGGCATTCTCTCTCTGCTCTCTGACCCTGAGCCACAGGCCTCCTCCAGGAATGTGCAGAGACATTTATCAGGAGCACACGCACACTCGGGTCATGGGTCAGCATGCCGGGGCTGGAAGGGACCCAAGAGATCAATCACGTGATCGGCCACTCAGTTTAAAAACAGAACTGATGGCTCGGAAACTTAACATTACTTTCTAAAGGTCACACAGCTGATGACTTAAAAGAAAGACTAGAAATCAGAGGTCTTATTCCAAGTCTAATTTTCCTTGCGTCCCCCCACCCGGGAAACTTGGTGAACTTCGGACAACAGGACCATACGAGACATGTTCTGGGTGTATCTCAAGGGTATTTCCCAATGGCACCGTTGACTCGGGAGCTCCTGGAAGTGTTGACAGTAATGATGACATCTGTTCTTTATCGAGCACTTACTCCGTGCCAGGAGCTGTTCTACCCGCCTCACATGTGCTAGTTCCTCGTGGGCCCCTCACAACCACACCAGGGCATGGAGAGGTAGAATCACTTTTCTAAAATCACACAGACCATCCCGGGAACTGGTAGGCAAACCCACACGGTCTGGGCTCAAGGGCCCAGCTATTCACCCTCACACCCCTCATCTCTCTGCAAAGACAGAGACTTATTAGGACTGGCTTGGTCCCTCCTGGACCCCCCCGCCCCCCCCCCCCCGCCCACTACTTCCTTTGTAAAATGGGACACTTTCCTTCCAGTGGTTGTGCGGATTCAATGTCTAGCAAGTACCTTAGAGACAGGATGGGTTCCAAAGGTTTGTTCAAAAGCCAAAGAACAAACAAAAACAGAACCATGCACATGAACTGAAATATTAGCAGGCCCCTGTGACACTCTCTGCTACTCAATGCTTCAGAGGGAAGTTTAGAAAAAAGGGAGGGGAAGATTCCAGAAGGAGGCTCCGAGTGATGACTACGTGAGGGACGACATCAGGCCTTCGTGTTTATGGACAGGCAGGAGAGAGTGAACAGTACGTGTGTCCTGCCTGCCTCTGGCTCCTTCCCTGGTGTAAACAAAACGCACCACCTTGGAATGTTCAGTTAAGTTTTTTCCAATGCTCATGATGTTTCATATCCCAAGTCATCTTAAAAAGTAGAAATTAAATTGAGGTGTGCATTCAGCTGGTCAAAAATTATTCCTGAAGGAAGCCGGGCCATGTGTTCATGCAAACTAACTCAGTGCCGATATTCCTTAAATTTCCCACTTATAAATATAAACACAAGTAGCGACATGCCATTAATGTGGTCCCCAGGCCCCAGGCTGCCCGTCACAAACCCTGGGAGGGGGACCAGCCATCTGTTAAATCCAGTTCCAACTGTGCTCAAGTTGGAGACTCATCAACAGGTCGAAGACACAACCAGCATTAAATGTCAGAAAACCGCAGAGCATGCCAGGTGACCATTTCCACGCATGCTCTATGGCTGAACACTCACCTGAAGTTTATCACTAATATCAAGTCTTCCTATGAACTTGGTCACCTTGGGTGACCTATGCTATTTAAGACTAATATTAGTTACATCATTTTAGTGAGAAAAGGATCAGTACATTTTAATCTATCCATTCTTCTACCAACACATCTATGACAGAAAAGACCATTTCTCTACAAAGCACACAATTCAAAATCATGTTTAGAAAACACACGCAGTTAGTTAACTTACACGTAATTAAATGCTAAGCAATATGAGGGAAGCCCATCCCAATATAAAAATTTGAAATGCACATACTAGCTAGTGATTCATTCTACTCATGTTTATGAAGTGCTGTCGGTATTTCAAAAGCGCGTTTGCGTACACGGGCCCTGGCAGCGAAGGGTTAATAGTGGCTCCTCACCTTGAGGTGTCTGTTCTGCCACTGGCTTCGCCTTCACTTGGATCCCTCAAAACAAAGTGAAGGTTGAGATTTAATGATAAGAGTGAAAAAGAGATCAAGAAAACCTACATCTGAAATGATTTTAAAATCAACTTGTTGAGCCAACTTCTAGCGTGACAGTTTCTGTGACTCGTCAAGTCTAATGCTATTTCTCATGTTTTTTCAACATAACCGCACTGAACTGTCACTCATTGAGCGTCTACTGGGCATTGTCAGGGAGGAAATGCTGGCTGACGGGTTAGGATTTTTTTTTTTTTTTTTTTTTAATACATGATCTTCCAATTCTCAGACATGATTTTAAAGTTGTAATTTATCTTTTGGTTTAGTTCAGTTCAATCTAAAGTTAAAACGATTGGATAATGGTCAACAGCAAGATTCAACTGCGTGTTTGTTACGGAACAGAATTCTAGTAGTCGCTCAATTTTAGAAAACATACACATTAACCTTATAGTTAGAAATAAAGCTCAACACACATATTAAGTATTTTTAAAAATAAGTACCCATTTTTAAATAAGCAGTTAACTTATTTCAGGAGTTAAGCTAACGATTCATGCACATGATAAAATATTACAGCAAACGAACAGCCTACCCAAGCAGGTGAGTCTAAAAACATGAACTCAATCTTAAACAGAAACATTGATCTTACCTGGATATCCACCTGTGAAAGAAAACCAGGAAAACTCTACTAATTGTCCTTTTGTTGTATGCAATTGATATTTTAAAAATCTACCACAATTTTAACTACGTTGTCATTTTTCAGAGTTAATTAAGTATTGACATAGGAGTATCAAGTTGTAAACCCATTTAAATATAGGAAGAGGTGGCTTGTGATAGCAAAATATTAATAAACAGCTGGGAAAAATTACCAACTTGAACCTTTAAGATAATGTTTTACGCATCCCTATATAAGAGTGAGCTATGGTGAAAAAATCATCAGGTTTGGGTGGCTCAGTGGGTTGGACCATTGTCTTATACACTGCAAGGTGGAGGGTCCAATTCCTGGTCAGGGCACATACCTAGGTCGTGGGTTTGATCCCCATCAGGGTGCATATGGAAGACAACGGATGGATGTTTCTCTCTCTCATGGATGTTTCTCTCTCTCTCTCTCTCTCTCTCTAAAAATCAATAAAAACATATCCTCAGGTGAGGATTAAAAAAGAAATTATCAGGTGTGATGCAATTTCCAGCTTACAGAGTAGGTATAAAGAACCTACCCACAGCCAATGGGTGTAAAGGCTATTTAAAAGACGTTGAAATAATACAATAATCTCCATCTCCCTTGATCGACGATTCTAGTGTAAATGGCTTTCTGAAGACCAGAAAGCAACTCTCTTGGGTGGTCATTTTGGCGAACAGTCTTCCTAATGGCCAGAAAGAGCTACTGCCCGGCCTCCTTTCTGAAGCTTTCCCCTGTTCTTATCCTTTCTTAACGCTCAGCAAGCCCAATTCCTCTATGTTCCCCCTATGAAAGCCCTACTTTCTCATATAAGCATTTAATGGCGCACCGACTTGGTTGGACCCAAAATTTGTGAGGCATTTTGGCTCCCAAAATAACCCCGAGTTCTGGTCACAGAGGGTGTCTGTGCGAGGGTTCCACTTCTTCAGGCCTTAGCCGGAGGGAAGTGAGAAAGGCAGAGAGAACCAGGGAAAAACAGAGCTTGAGCCTGGGATGGACTTCAGAAGGAGAACTAAGGGGAAAGAATGGGTCATGGGAGAGATGAGTTGAAAATATTAAATGATAAGGCTAGTCTATATCCTGAACTTTGAGAAATTCTCTCTTTATCTCCAAGCCTCCAAGACCCTCCCTCCCCACTTCCCCCAAGTTCAATATGCTATGACCGCAGAGAGAGCAGCTGCATCACCAGTCTGCCACTTCCAAAGGACTTAGCAGGCTCCTTCCCGGGACTGAAACCAACGGCTGGTGTGTCTTCCTGCGGGAAGTCACTTGTGGTAGATGGTAGAGCCCAAGTGCAAGCACTTTAGCAAAGCCAAGGCTGTTCATTCACACGGTGACAATGACCTTGGAGGAGAATGGAGCATTTTTTCTCGTCTCTAACCAAATCCAGAATTGACTGACATGAGGCTAAAACCAAGACACTGAAAATAACCTGCCAAACTGCTGACAAAACATCACAATCTGCTCCCTCCCTCTCTCTCCCCCTCGGCCCGGAAAACTGTTCAGAGGACTCGAATATGAGCACCATGAGTAAGAGCGTCATGGAGCCTTAGAAACGTCCATGCCAGCTGCCTTCGGAGGCTGCAGGAAGCCAACATCAAATTTCCCTCAACCTGCACGGTGCGCAGCAACGTGTAGCATCAGTGTGTGTTGCACACTCATGCTTGCTTTCTCAGGAGAGTGCCATTTTACTAGCTCAGAAGTTGGCTGTTCATTTTGTGTTTGCTGAGGTTAAGATTTTATGTTAAATTACCTAAGAAATCTATGCGGCTGTATGTGTGTGTGTGTGTATATATATATATATATATATATATATATATATATATATATATAGGCTTTTTACAAGAAAGAGGGAAACTATTATTAGTGAGCAGTTTAAAGGATAAATATAAATCCTATTTAACTCCCTTTTCTAAATTAAGGCTTTTAAAAACACATCTTTGAGGTCAAGTTTTGCTCTTTCCCCTCTAGAAAAACTTTTAAATTCTCATTTTGTCCATTTTCCTTCTTTCTCTTAAGGGAAAGGATCTTTGTCTTCCTTGATTTTTTTTTTTTTTCCCCCCTTCAAACTTCTGCAAAAGAGCAGCTTAATGAAACGTCATCAAACCACTTTGAAACGTCACTACAAGAGAGGAAAGAAAAGCCCCAAACACTCTTCCTTTATAACCCGCGGGGACTGACCTGCGGACGAATCTGGAGGTGATCTTGCTGATGAGGCCGGTGGACGTGCCCCGCCGCGCGTGGGCGAAGGCCCCGCTCTCGTGGGACGGAGACGCGGGGGGCCCGGCGTGGGCGGCGCCGCGCCGCTCCCTGAGCTGCTCCCCGTGGAAGGTGCTGCGGCTGGAGCTGCCGCGGGGGAAGCGGGTCCGGTCCGGGGTGCTGGCACTGATGCTGTGGGCAGACGGGGAGGCGGCAGGCACTCTCTGGGTGGTCCTGTTGGGACAAGGCGCCATGCACACTGTTCAGAGTGATGGCCCAGGCGACTTCCACTCCCAAACCAGACAGAACTTGCTATGCCCACTTTTTTTTTTAAGGGCAATAAGAACTTTTTATTACTATTTTATTTATATATATATATATATATATATATATATATATATATATATATATATATATATATTTTATTGATGTTTTTACAGAGAGGAAGGGAGAGGGATAGAGAGTTATAAACATCGATGAGAGAGAATCATTGATCGGCTGCCTCCTGCACACCCCCTACTGGGGATGTGCCCACAACCAAGGCCCATGCCCTTGACCGGAATCGAACCCGGGACCTTTCAGTCCGCAGGCCGATGCTCTATCCACTGAGCCAAACCGGTTTTGGCTTTTTTTCTTTTTTAATTAAATGCCCAGCCGGTGTAGGTCAGTGGTTGAGCATCAACCCGTGAAGCAGGAGGTCACGGTTGGATTCCTGGTCAGGACACATACCTGGGTTGCAGGCTCCATCCCCAGTAGGGGGCCGTGCAGGAGGCAGCTGATCAATGATTCTCTCTCATCACTGTCAATGTTTCTATCTCTCTCTCTCTCTCTCTCTTTCTCTCTCTCTCTCCCTTTCCCTTTCTAAAATCAATAAAAACATAACTCCTTTAACAAACGCAGTGAAACGCAGCCAGCACGTTACCCGGGTCGGTACGCCTCGGAGCCGTCCTTGATGGTTGGCAGTGTGACTTTGACGGGGTGGCCGGAGGTGGACATGGACTTCTGGTGGCGGGGCCGGGCCGAGGGCACGGCAGGGCCCACGCCGGAGCCTGCGGAGGACAAGCTGCTGGCCGACATCTCCGTGAGGCTTGCACATGGAACAGAGTGAACGCAGAGGAGAAGCGCGGGTCACTGACGTTTCAGAACGATGTTTTTAAGGTAAAGTGACTCACGCCTTTTCATGACTGCAATGCTTAAAGTGAGTCAGCACTGATGGCATTAGTGACGGACAAGTCACCCGAACGATGTATCTATCGGGTGAACTTACTATCACCGTCCTAGGAAATAAGGACCTCACCCACTCTGACCCTCTCTCTATAAGTGACTCAGAGGCGGTCTGAAAGGATTTTTAAAAATATATATATTTTATTGATTTATTTGTTACAGAGAGGTAGGGAGAGGGAGAGAGAGTTAGAAACATCGATGAGAGAGAAACATCGATCAGCTGCCTCTCGCACACCGGGGATGTGCCCACAACCAAGGTACGTGCCCTTGACCGGAATCGAATCTGGGACCTTTTAGTCCCCAGGCCGACGCCCTATCCACGGAGCAAACCCGGTTTTGGCTGAAATGATTTTTTCGGATAAAATGATTGTGGCTGGGGCTATCACAGTGCGGTGTGATGTGTTGCTAAGGGTCACTGCCCGTTATACAAAAAGGATTCATAATGATAGCAAAAATACTATCGCTGGAAGTATTATTAAAACACTTTCTTATCATGAACGAGGGCTTAGTACAAGAAAAATAAGAAGTCAGAAATCAATCCCCAACGATTCTTTTCCCTAAAGGATCTTAAGTCCAAGGAGATCCATTTCTATGACATGGAGAGGAAGCAAATGTAAGAATGGTCTGTAGAGTCTACTAAATGACTAGAGATGGAACTCAGCACCGAATTTTATTAGAATGAACTCCCTGCCCTTTTGTATTATATTGATGAATAGTTCTGTATTATAACTCGTGGTGAAGAGAAGCTAAAATTTTAAAATAATGAAAATAGGGTTTCTCATTATTTAAAATAAAACACAGAATTGCATGGTTCTCTAGGATCAGCTGAGGTGGCCACATTTCTGTAGAGGAAGAAAAACCACGCCTTTGGTATTGAATAAAGTTATGACTTGAGGGAGGGGGGAAGGGAAGGAGGTAAGAAAGGAGCAGCGGGCATATAAGAAGAATGAGATCCTAATTATGAATATTGAATTAGAAAAGATTTTAGAGGAAATTCTCAGGCTAAGAGATTTACCTCCTGCTTCCCCTAAATATTTCCCCTCGTAAGAATGGTTGGCTGTTGCCAGGCCAGTGTGGCTCATTGGTTGAGTATCAACCTATGAGCCAGGAGGTCATGGCTCAGTTTTCCAGTCAGGGCACATGCCCCAGTTGCAGGCTCGATCCCCAGTAGGGGGCGTGTAGGAGGCAGCCAATCAATGATTCTATCTCATCGTTGATATTTCTCTCTCTCTCCCTCTCCCTTCCTCTCTGAAATCAACAAAAATATACTATAAAAAAAAAAAGAATGACTTGGCTGCAATCTTACTATTCTGTATTTCCTTCCCTCTTGAGCCATCAGCAGGGGCTATAGCACAATTGACAGCAGAACCCTAGGCACTGTGATGCTTACCTACTGTCTTTTCCATTTTGCAGGGCCATGTAGCGGTCTGTGGTCCTTTCACAGACATACGTGTTCCTTCTTGCCATGCTTCCTCCAGCATATATGTTATTCTTTAAAAAGGAAAAAGAAGACCTGCATTACCACCATTTGCCCACCATCCAGAACTGAAATATCATGGCTGGAACTGTTTGGCATTGAAATTGGGTCTCAAAGGAACTGTTTGGCATTGAAATTGGGTCTCAAAACAACTGGTGGCCCAGAAAAGCTCACTATAGACTGATTCATATGCCTTTCAGCATAGCGATTATTGCTTGTCTCACTTTTGATTCTTATAAGTATATCTCCAGTAGGACATGATCTCACTCATCTAGGGGAAATGGTGAACAACATAGACTGACGGACAAGAACAGATCCAGAGAGAAGGAGCCCTGGGCCAGACTGTCAGACCTCAGAGGGAGGGCGGGGGTAAAAGGGAGAGATCCACCAAAGGACTTATGTGCACCCATAGGAGCCTAACCAGTGGTCAAGGACAATAGGGGGGTAGGGGCATGAGTGGGGAGGGGTGGATGATTGGAATGGGGGGTTGAAGACAAATATGTGATACCTTAATCAATAAAGAAATTAAAAAAAAAATAAAAAAATAAAAAAACAGGGATGAATCCCCTTCTGTGTAATCCTTACGCCAGTAGACAAAACTTTCCCTATTTTTGGCCAATCCAGTATTCACGGATCTTTAAAATACGTAATTAGCTTATGATGGGTTTAATCATGAGGTCTAGCTAGAAAGTTAATAGATACACTGTACACTACATATCTTAGTGTTCTGATCTCGCTTTATTATTTCCTGCTGCATTACAGGAAACTGTCTCAATGTCTCTTCTAGCTCTCCTTATATAATTTCTAGTTTGCTGTTTTTAAGTGAATGATGTGAGCTGAATTTATAGTATTAATTTTATACTGAGTCTGCCTTCATCCAACACAAAATTAAACATAAAATTAAATGAGCCAAGAGAACATGAAGTACATATTACAAACGGGGAAAGGAGGAGTGTCGCATGCCATTCTGTGGTGAGGCTCGGTGTAATGGAAACAATTCACATTCTACCTTTTTTGTTCCTAAACTGCATTTGTGAGAAGCTTGGCCCCTTTTTGCATGTTCTGGAAATGCACGATTCGCTTTCAAATGGTGAAACATTGAAAAAAACAACCTTTAAACGGAAACTCCTGATCGCAGATGAGCACCCCCAAGCTGCCACAGACCCGACGGCTCACTCACACTGGGGATCGTGGACGCCTTTTTCCTCTCGGGCCCCACGAGTGGGCTGGCGGTCACCTCGCTCTTCGACCCCACGGTCGAGCCGCCGAGTTTGCGCGCAGCCCCGTCCTTGTCCCACTCCTCTTTCTGCTCACTCTCCACGCTGCTGGCCTGAGGCCTCTTCGTGTACGACACGGCAGCGGAGATGGATGGACCAGCTAGAATTAAAAAAAAAAAAAAGAAGCCTAATGAGCTACAAAACAACTGACTTACCTTCTCCTTACGAACAAATATTGCGTGAAAAATATCTCTGTTTGCGTATTTTTCACTCTAAAGGAAGGTGAGACTGTTTGATGACGACAATTAGGTCGGTCCCTGCAGAGGGGATCCTATTTGTCATTCACCGAGAGCCTATGGGGGACGGGGGTGACACAGGCACATGAAGGTGTGGATGGATGAGGCCTAGACAACACGAGTCTGGATGGGACCGGTCTGTGTGCACTGATTTGACTTTTCCCCCACCATGATCGCTAAAGCGCCGCTGCTTCTGATTGGCCGAGATGCTCCTCTGGACCTTCAGGTGGGCGGGGGACTGGAGGGTGCTGTTGTTTAGGTCGCTACTGGGCCGCGACCTCTGACTCAAGTTGCCACTGGATAATGACTCACCGCCTTCAAACTGCAAGAGGAAGAGAGACCACCAGGGTTTCAAAACGTGAAAATGTTTATGCAAATGATACATCTAGCACTCTTGATTTTTTTCTCATCTATTCCAAGCCATACAGGGAGTAGTCAGAACTTAAAAAATCAAAAATACTTTGGGTGCAGAACTGCAAGCTGGCAAACAGGAAGGGGAGAAAAAGGCTTTGGAGTCTTGGTTTAGTCAAAACACCAAATGCTACCAATCACTGGATGGTGGTTATAGACTGTGCTTAGCTCTTTATATTGGTTACTTTGTATAATCATTACCAAAAAACCTATGACTTATTAATCTGCACTTTAGAGATGGAAAAATTGAGATTAAGTTTCAACAGAGCCCAGAGGGCACAGTCCAGGCTGAGAGACCCCACTGGTGCATGATCGGGGCCGGGGTGGGACCTCGGCAGGGCGTATCCAGGCTGTCTCACCCAATCCTAATCTGCCTGATCCCAGGAGCAAATTAACCTACCTGTAGGAGTGTCTGCCCTCTCGTGGTCAGTGTGTGTCATAGCTACTGGTAAAAAGGTTGAATGGTCGCTTAGGCTTTTATATATATAGATACTTAGCCATTACTAGCTCAAGAAATAATTTATATTAATCTAAAAATGTGAAAAACTTACTTCAGGTGGTTTTCTACCTAGAAGAATATAAGTAGCCATGACTTCATCATATTTCTGATTTATTAAGGCGTCATTTATCTCATCTCGTGCGAAACCCATGGTGACCATGACATCTGGAAATTTGAAAAAAAATGAAAATTTTATGAAAATGTGTTTATTTTAGTAAACAAATGAACAAAAATTGGCCACGCTTGCCAACATTAGATATAAAAACTAAGTTTTAAAGTGGAATATCAATTATAAAGACTTTTGGATTATTAACACATGGATACTGTATATCCGGATACTGTACGTTCACAATTTTTCATGCAGAGACTATATCATGAGTTACATATGATTGAATCCATTCCCTTTCCTATTGCCTAGCACATTTCCGAGCTGAATTCCTTTGTCCACCCAGACACACAATATCTGTCTGTGTGCGACACACAAAATCCCTTCTCTCTCTATCTCTCAGCACACCCTCAGCCTGCCATGGAGTGGTCTCTCCCATCTCTGAACACCCCTGCTTTCTGATCTGAAGGCAGGTTGGGTCCTCCTTGGGAGGCCAGAATTCCATAGTTGTCCTGAACAGAGTCCTAACACCCTAGAATGTTCCTCCCTCTGTCTTTAAGCCAGACAGGAGCACAGCTGAGATGACTCTGTTTTGAGTTCCTAGACTGTGGGAAGGGAGAGAGAAACAAAGAACGTTTGGGCTGGGAGGGTGGACACTGATGAGACGCAGAAAACTCAAAGCGAGAGGCCCTATTTGCTCAGGGCCTCTGCGATTTTGGTCGAAATACATGTTCTGTCTTGCTGATATCAGTCTGATCAATGCTGATACTTACATCAGTCATTCCTTCTGTTAGAAATTGCTGAAAGGAATGAGATTTATCTACATCGTTTTAAATTGTGTATCACCGTTGCCAACACTTGAATTAGATTTATAATATGCATGAGAACCAACTAAGGAAGTTGAAATTTGCAATGATTAGTGTACATCCGGGGAAAGAAAAATGACAGATCAGGCATTTTTTAAATAAAAATAGCTTCCTATTTATAGTTTGAAATGCTATTTTGGTAGACTAAAGGACTCTTACTTACTTAAAAAAAAAAATCTCACAGCATTTAAATACTTACCTATCCTTTTTGTGTCATTGAAATCCGGTTCAGGCTCACTATACGGCTTTAGTTCTTCTTCTTCGTGACCAACATTCATCCACCGATCTTTCATTATTTGCTAGGAAAAAAAATTCTACGTTATGTTTGGCCAACCAGAACATTTCAACCACTTCAAAACGAGAGACAGTAAGACAAACAGGATTCCAAACTTCACAAAAGGAAGTTTACTTTAGCCACCACTGCCTGTAGACATAAATGACTGCTTGCTGGGACATTCTAACAAATAAATTCATGCGGATGAATGATGAGGAAGTAAGCAAATTAGCAATGGAAATGCACACCTTACACTGAGGTGCGCCGAGAAAGGAGATGGACTTTGGGATGGCCAGAAGGAAATAAACTTTGCTTAAATGGTTTCCACCTTTGTAAAGCCCCTCATGTGCTTCTGAGTTTATATTTTCATTTTTTTGAGAAGATGTTATTAGGAGGAGGAGGAATGGCAGTACCACCACTTGTACTAGACAAACATCAAGAAGATGTTTAAGATTATCTGAGCTACAGCTAAAAAGGTGTTAAAATACTTTAAAAATATATATATTTTATTGATTTTTTACAGAGAGGAAGAGAGAGGGATAGAGAGTCAGAAACATTGATGAGAGAGAATCATCCATCAGCTGCCTCTTGCACACCCCCTACTGGGGATGTGCTCGCAACCAAGATACATGTCCTTGACCTTTCAGTCCGGAGGCCGATGCTCTATCCACTGAGCCAAACCGGTTTCGGCTAAAATACTCTTGAGGTTTACCATAGAGGACAGAGAAAAGGCAAAAAGGAGGGGTCTTGCTTTTGCTCAAATTTTGCATTGTTTTGAAAGGAAACACAGTTCATCCTCGTTAAAGAACGGAAAATGAAAGAGAGGGAATCGCACAGACGTTTTTCAGTTTCTCTCTAATAATAATAATAAAAAAAACCCTAGACTCATCAACATTCAGATAACCAGGATGTAAAAATAAAAACAACAAGTTACACCCGCAGCACACACACACAAAAAAAACCACGACTTACTTCCAAGCTGCCTCTCTTAATGGGGTTCAGCACTAATAATTTCTTCAGGAGGTTTTCACAGTCGGTGGACATGTAGAAGGGGATGCGGTACTTCCCACGTAAGACTCGCTCCCGGAGTTCCTGGACAAACAGAAGGAAGCGCTTAGCGGCTGGGGTGCACCACGGTCCTGCGTGGGGGGGGGCAGCACGTGAAGGTCAAGTTCAGCCGATACCTTGAGGTTCTGGCCGTCAAACGGCAGGGAGCCGCTGACCAGCGTGTAGAGAATGACGCCCAGGCTCCACACGTCCACCTCGGGCCCGTCGTACTTCTTCCCCTGGAAAAGCTCGGGAGCGGCGTAGGGGGGGCTTCCACAAAATGTGTCCAATTTGTTCCCGACTGTAAACTCGTTACTAAAACCAAAGTCAGCAATTTTAATATTCATGTCAGCATCAAGGAGAAGGTTTTCAGCCTAAGAGGAAAATAATAAAAAGGACAATGTTGAAGAGCCTACACAGCATCACACGGCCATCATCACTCTTCCACATCCCAGACCTGTCTCTCTGGCCTCGCACTTGCCAAAGATGGCAGCTGATGGAGAAGCCCAGCAGGTAGGTCGGTGGGTACCTGCTCGAAATTTCCATCTACAGAGGGCTGCATTTGAGCACCAGACAAGAAGCTCTCATTTTTATGCATCTCTGCAACTGTTCAAAGCCCCCCCTTTTTTTTTCCTTCAGAGTAATATCCTAGAACTATATACTACTATATATATATATATTTTTTAATTTTTTAAAATTGATTGTAGAGAGGAAGGGAGAGGGAGAGAGAGAAACATCAATGATGAGAGAGAATCACTGATTGACTGCCTCCTGCACGCCCCCCACTGGGGATCCAGCCCACAACTCAGGCATGTGCTCTTGACATGAATCAAACCTGGGACCTTTCCGTCCACAGGCTGACACTCAATCCACAGAGCTAAACCAGCTAGGGCAAGGAACTGTATCTTAATATGACCTAGTCAAAAGAACATCAGTCAAACAACACTGATCCGTTTGGGGCTTAAACCAACAAGTAGAGGACCACTGGTTAACCATTGGTTAGCACAAGGCTGATCCCTACAGTAACTGCAAATCAGGGCTCCTGTGATTCAATCCATTGCCCTCTGAGAGAATACTCCTCCACAGAGTTCTGTTCTCAGTAAAACAGTACAATGCAATGGAGACTCTATTAGAGTGGGTCTGTCTAAGCTTCCTTTTGCTGTTTTACAACTAGATTCTCTTCTGGAGGTATATGATGGTAGAAAACAGTGGTTCTTCCCCCAACCTCCCAATGTATGAGATGCTGGTTTTCCAAAATCCTAAATCAGCATCATTCAAATAAAAAGTTTTCAATGTGTCTTTGAGCTTTAATGTGACGAATGAGAACTGATTCTTTTATCAGACTAACTTGAATTAGTCCCCAGACCTTGCTTCTGACTGAACTGGACTTTAGATGTTCTTAGTTTGGGACAAAGTTCACATTTATCTATAGAACAAGCTTATTCGTGGCGAATCAAATCTTCTAGCCTTTAATGCTAGATGACTACTCATATATTTTATCTATTTTCTCAGTGACAATACTGCCTCTCATAAAATTGCTGTGAAGATTAAATAACAACTAATTTCCTTACAGAGGGCCTGGTATAATGAGGCAACCAAACATAGCTCTATTATTATAAATCATCCATTAATAATTAAAAATTTTATGTTATAAAATCAGAGCTTACCTTAAGATCACGGTGAACAATGCACTTTTGATGACAATACTGTACAGCGGATACAATCTGAAATGAATATTGGGATAAAAAATTAAAAAATTATTTTATGGTAAAAAAAAAATCACAATTTCCCCCAATTATCATCTCCCATTTAGACTATTAGCTTGAATTTCAAACTAACATTTAGTAATTTCATTGTTCCTTCAGTTCAGAAAACTATACATATAAAAGTTAGAGTGGTGAAACTCACTCTTACACATAGAATATACTGAAAAGGAGAAAGTAGACTTCTCTTGCTAAAATATTTTTGTCTGAGTTGTGAAGATTTTTATGGGTTGTCATATTTCTCTGTTTACACTTGATAGTTAGGGTCAAATGTGTATACTTGATAGTTTGGGTCAAATGGTTTATTTATTTGAGTGTTGTAATAAGAGCTTTGGCAAACATGAAGCAGTATTCCAAGAGAGTTGGTTCAAGTTCAAAAGGCAAAACTCTATTTTAGGAATTATATCAAATGTGTTCAACACATGTTTCTTCAGTGAGGACAACTGACTAAGAACTTACCCTGTGGGTACTTAGCAACTTCCTTTGTGTGTTCATGTACAAAGGAATGTGAAAAATGTTGTACCTTAAAAATAAACCCAATTATCTAAAGAAAAGACTCAAAAGTGAAATTTAATCTGAAACCTGTCACTAATTCAGGTGGGCCAAGTATTCTACACTACAACTAGATTTTGTATGCAGTGAAAATTTTCAACCAATACAGAGGGCTCTTTGGGGACAAGATTTAAACAGGGAGGAACCTAACAGATTAAGAGCCAGAGAAACAAATGAGAAATAGGGTATAGTAATTCTTTCATAGTTATTTACTACATTAAATACTGAATTGGAAAGATTCTGATAGCAATCACGTAAGCTGTTTTTTAACATGTTTTTATTGGTTGTTTTATTTTTTTAGAGAGAGAGAGAAACATCGATGTGAAAAACATCGATGTGAGAGAGAAACATTGATCAGTTGCCTCCTGCACACAGGGTTGAGCTCACAGCCCTGACCGGAATTGAACCAGCAACCTTTCTCAGTGCATGGGAAGATACTCATCCAACTAAGCCACCCCAGTCCAGGCTAAGAGCTATTTTGTACATACAATTGTATCTGCTGTCTAGGAGGACAACCATTATAATGCACAGCAGAACATTCCATTCTGTGGATTCAGGTAAATGGAAACACAGTCTGAATGTTAAATATTGGTTAGGCACTTACAAATGGAGCTAGGAATGAAATTTCTGAAAGTCTAAAGGTAATGTGAAGTATGACCATGCTCATAGGAATATGGGTTAAAAACAAACAACAACTTCTAAGTAATAGATGTGAAACTGGTGGTTCAGTATTCTAACATTATCCTGATGTGTATTAAAATGGTTCAAAGACAGAGAAGACATGAATTCAAAACAAAACCAACACACAACGAGCAACATATAGTTCAAGTAAATTTATTTTGAGCGAACAGTCAGTTTATTGAGTACCTACTATGTGCAAGAAAATGTGCTAGGGAAACACAAAAATTAACACTGCATGGATCCTGCCTGCCCTTACGTAGCTGGCAGGCTGATTAGGAGGTGAAAACATGTATACAGGTAACCATAAAACATAAGGCAGAAGCATAGAAGCAGAAGTACAAAGAAGTGGGGAAATCCTAAAAAAAATAAAGAATCGATTCCGTTAGAAATGCCTCCTGGAGTGGTGATACCCGAGTGAGGCCATCCTTGAAGGGGAGCAGTATTATAGAATGTGGAGCTTTGGTGCTGGAGGAGTGTGTGTGTGTAGGGGGGGAGGGGGGAGTAGGGGGAAGGGTAAAGGGCTGAAATGCACTCTTGGGAAAGTTGGTGGGAAATGGTCAGACTACACCTTGGTAGGCTGGTAAGTCTCTGAGTTCCAAACTAAGCAAGCACTATGTAACCACTGCATGCTTTCTGAGCAGAGAGATGATGACGGAGAAGGATCATTCTGAAGCGTGAGTCCCCCAAATACAGCAGAGTCTGACAATGAATATTTGTAGCATGTTCTCTTAAGCAATCTGCTTCAAAATTCTAATATCCTATGTTCAGTGAAATATGTTGATTAGCCCACAGATCTGCGCATTCATATGTAGATATGACTACATCTTATTGAACAGAATACATGGGCTGTCGTATGTTCATGCTATAAGGCTGTATTTGTATCATGGATGACAGAAAAGTGCTGATAATGATATTATCTTTTTTGAGTCCCTTTGTCTTGACACAGTGAAGGAGACACGCTATAGATAATGACTTGCTGACCACACATACACGTCACATCAGACAGAACAATCTCCATGTTCTATAGTCACTTCTGAAATAAGAATCCCCTGGGCCCTAATGCCTTTGGCATGGAAAGATAATTAAAGAGAATGTTCCATATGAAGCATTCATTCTCCCCAAACTCTTTGACCTCTGACTTCTAGCAGTCAAACATGGTGGTCTAGAGTATCACCACACTTGTCTAGCCAGGTACAATGTCTGATGTGAAGGAAATTCTGGCTTCTGACTCACTGCAAGAACTCCACCCACAAGTCCAGGTTGTACTGCGTTGTTCTAAGGCCAGACTCCCCCATCTCAAGACATCTATAAATGGGGTGCAGGGATTTATTTATGGTTCTTCTGTTCTAGGTCATGCAAACATGAACTGTTAGCCCTGCACTGCTCCCAAGACCAGGCGCGGAAGTGTTTTGCTGTGAGATGCAACTGCTAGGTCACTGGAATCAGTTATTAAGTGGGTCAGGAATTCCTAAGCCTTAGTCGCCTTCGTATCGGAAGAGCTGAGTCAATACTATAATTTTCTTGCAGGCCACCAAATCCTAAGGAATGCAGAGGCATTGTCTGACCAATGTTTGCTCAAGTGGCCTTAAACTGTCCAGGGTCTTTACTGTAGCCAACTGTAGAATCAAGGGCATATACAGAGGTTGGCAAAGTAGGTTTACAGCTCTGAGTATATGAAACACAAGAGTTTATTCTTGATTAATTATTGTATTATTTATTTGTATTACACCTGGAAACCTACTTTTACCCACCCCTGTATAAACAGTTGGAGAAGTCCTAAAGAAAAGGGGCAGAAAAAACTTGTTTAAGCTTTTTTTTTTTTTTTTTAAATATGTTTTTATTATTTGAGAGAGAGAGGAAAGAAGAGGGAGAGATCCATCATCATATTTCTGCTCAGAAAACATGTTATGGTTACACATGCATGTGCCCTGACCAGGAGTTGAAGAGAACCCTGTGAACTTTTTGGGTCAGCATGCTCTACATTGATCCCTGAATGAGTTTGTTTTGTGAAACCTCTGTTGTTACATGACTGTTTGGAACACAACTTGCAAAATGCTTTCTGCATTTTAAAGTGTTTAAAAAAAACAATTTACAATTTATTAATGTGTCATGTCTATAGTAATGCATATAGTATACTTCTTTAATCCCTGAATATACTTCTTTACTCCCTTCATTCTTAAAAATTAAATCCTAGATCAACTTAAATTACTTTTTCTTATTTTATCATTTCTGTAACAAGTCATAGTCAGGAAATGCAACTATCTTACCATATTCTTCAGCCATATTTGCAAGGTTCCTTGCCTACCTGACTAAATAAAATCGACCATATCTTTAAATCTATAAAAGATGAATTCTATAATAATACCAAGACATCTTTAATCACAAAAGAAAATAAATACTAATACTTCTTTAAGCAGTACACATATATACTGTATACACAGAACGAATAATACTTGACAATGATCATTGGATATCGGACCAAGTATTTCTTTTCTATCTCAGTCTAGTTTATATTTCCAAGACTATCAAAGAAATACAGTGTCTCCCTGATGAGCATTTCACTAGTTACGATCATCTATCAATAACCTCTGAAATTCAAATTCAGGAAGAGCAGATTTCTTTGTCAGTTTTCCATTCATAAGGAGCGTAAGAAAGCAAGACTTGTTCTTGTTAAAAAAAACACAAAAAAACAACCACATTCCCCGAAGTCCAGCTGATGACGCTGTCCATTGTACACCAGTAAAAAGAGCAGCAAAACAGAGGTGAAAACTACTTTCCGTACCTGCCTAAACTTTGCACGAGCCTCTTTTTCTTTCATTCTTCCATGGGCAACTAAGTAATCAAATACTTCACCTGAATCGGAAAGGTAAAGCAGGCAGTAAAATATACATAAGATTTTCAATGAACAACATATGCAATGTCAAGCTTGTGGCTTGTGCCTAAAGAAGCTTCTGGCCCCCGATTTTCTGAGAGTTCTACGTAAATCACAAACTCTTCCGTGAATATTAAAAAAAAAAAGGGGGGGGTTACATATAGAATTGAGTATCTGCAGCAGCTGATGATTCGGCAAAACTCTTTAAAGAATAAGTCATAAAAACAATAACCAAGAAAAACTTGCTTTCTGCTTGACAAGTCTTATGTAAAAAGAATACAGTCAACTCTTTATGATCTGTTCTAATAAAGGGAACGTACAGCATGGGCAATCAAATCACATTTGGCTTTGTATATGGGGGCCTATGTTTTAAATAAAATAACAAGTCTTATTATGTTTGATCTCTCTCTCCTTTCGATTCATGAAGCCTTGGTCAAAGTCCATCTCACTATCGCCACACACACTGATTGCTTTTCCTTCCTATATTCTGGTTATGCCATACTCATCCCATCTATTTTGTACCTACTTATTATACAGAATTAAATCGTCCTTTGTGCATCTCCTATCACCCTAAATGAACTTAGACTACTTGAGCACCATCATCATTGCCGTACTTTCTTTGTATCCCCAACTTTATGACAGAACACAAAGTGGATAGACAATACACACTTGTTGAAATAATTTAAAGACAACTAGAAACTAGAAATTTTCTGTTAGCTCTACTACTTTATGTGTTTGTAAGTAACTTTATTTTTTTCTAGTCAATATAGAAAAAGAAAAACTTCACTATTTAGTTACAATCTTAAAAATAAATTATCTCTGTATAAAGAAGAAATTATTTTGTGTCCTTTTAATTATAATTGATACCACATAGATAAGACATGCATATTAAAAACTCACACAGTGGCTTAAAGAGTTCTTGTAAAGTTCAGCAAAGTGGTTAAAACTCAGACTTTAGGATCAGACCAATTTTGGTATGAATCCTAATTTAACCCCAAAGTAGCTATTGGGTGACTTCATGAAGACCCAGTTTCTATCTATTGCCTATCTCAGATGGCTTCTGTGAGGATTAAATGAAATAATGCATTTGCTTAGCACAGTGACTGGCATACAGTAAGCACTCAATAAATTATAGGTTTGTATCTAGGTAGACGGATATATTACATATACAGGTATATGCAATATCAATCCTCGGATGTAAGTGAAATATTAAAAATCAAATATGTAAAGGTGTATGGCAGATGAAACTAAGTCATCTACAATGTCAGGCAGAATATTACTTAAATGATTAAATTGGGTGATGAAAACAGAGAAATGAATGGATGCTCTAGTTGACCCATCACAGTAGGCAATTCTAGATTCATTTGTTGAGGCTGGGAAAGATACATACACGAGTTCAAAAAAAAATTACTCTTAGTTCTGCCTGGAACACTCAGGCCCCAAATGTTGGCGTGACTTAGTCCTTCACTTATTATATTGTTTGTTTATGGTTTGCTTACCCAACTAGAATGTAATCTTCTTGAGGGCATGAGCCGAAGCACCCAGAATATTACCTACTTGTAGTAAACATTTAATCAATAGTTTGTGTGAGGGAAAGGAGGAATAAACAGACCATGGCAGAGCAGCACTGACACCTACTTTTAATAGGCTCTTTTGGACCAAATCGTAAAGAAATTTTTGTGTCCATCAGGGAACCAGAATCAGCCAAGAGGCAGCTGTCTGACCCGCCTCTTCTTGTCCATGTTAGATTTCTCTGTGCATGTCAGGCTCAATCCTAAAATATCTGGACATTTCAGCGGAAAATATGAAGAGTTGTATTTTCCAGAGGAGCTCTGCCATTTATAGATCAAAAGGGCAAGGAAAAGATTCTAGATTTACTGCCAGAGCCATGATGGTTTTGTTACAAGATCGCTGAGTGGCAAGACCAAAGAAAATGGAGCCCTAGGAGTCAGAACAGAGTGAGGGACCACCAGGGTGGGGCTGAACCCCAACACAATGTCTCTATACCACACCACCTCTCCATCACCCCAGCCATCGGTCCCTTCATTAGTACCAATAGAGAGTTGACTGTACTGACCATTCGTTGTTAAAACAAAATATATAAATATATATATTACACTGTATAAAACAGAATGATGTCCACAGATTTTTAGCAGTCTATCATTTCTCCTATCAAAGCATGTCTAGCCCCTATTTTTAGACTTAAGATGACTAAAATGAAAAAAAAAATTAACAACTAAAAATAATGCTCAAGGTTCCCACGCTGACAAAATGTTATATAAATCTAACTAAAGGATGGAAAAATAGAGTAATAGTTCATTATGTGTTTTTTATAGGTTTGTTAATTTTATTGTAGACCTTCACTTTATGCAAATTTGCATGGCAGAATAATTGTTTAAAATAAAAAAAATAATAAAACATGAATAGTATCGGTTTTCGGGTTAAGTAAAAAAAAAAAAAATCTACACTGAAATATCTTCAGGATGGGAAAAAAGCTTTGTAAACAACCAAATCTATTAAAACTTTCAATCTCCATAAAAAAACTGAAAATGCAATTAAAATATATTTAATATTTGCAGTATATATATTTTTTGAAATCTAAGAAACAGTATAAAAACACATAATGTAGGTGTTTTATAAACTAGAATTAATCCTCTTTATTCTAGCTACATAAAATCTGACTCACCAGGAAAATCTATGTACTTTATCAGCTAAAAGGACTCAACACTGGTTTTCTATTGATTAGCAAAAGAGTTAATTAGCTAAAGTGCTTCAAATACTTAGAGTTGCCTTCCCTCTTCTTCAATTTTCTGAGCTCTTAAAACCTTCAAGTATTCCTTTTCTACTTATTGAATGATTTACTCCATACATGTTAAACCTGTTTCTGAGAACATTGAGTCCTACGCCTAACGGAACTGTGATTTTTCAGCTAGAGTATCTTCACTTGAGGGAAAGGCAGGCGAAAATGGTTTTCTATATATATATATCAGTTTTAAAAATCACTTCTGTTTTTGACACTCTGTAGTCAAAATACACTTTACATTCTACTACAAATACATCTTACTATTCAATTCCACCATTCTGCTTTTAGAATATACAGATCAATACTTATTTAAATTCAAACATTTTATGGATTATCTTGAAAATGCATCTATACTTAGGATCTTTCATGTATGAACAATCAGAGAAATAAACATTTACCCTAGAATATTCTTTTGCCATAGTCTTTATTAAATACATTGTGAATTTGAGATTTCTAGCTTCTAGTCATCATAATAATATGACATATAATACTACTACTTAGATAAGAGAATCAAACCATTCATAGATAACAATGCAAATTTAGAGTTTTAAAAATGTACCTAAGTAATAGTCAATGAGAATATGTTATTTTTTAGTATTTCTAAAAAACTAGAGTTAACAGCCCTACCTAGTTTGGCTAGGTGGACAGAGTATAAAAAAATAAAATAAAATGAGCCCCAAATCCTACTTTTAAATATAGGGTCAATAGGTCTTGAAAGCAAACACTGAATTTTCCTTAAAGTATCAAGTAAAGGTATTTTAATAAACCTGAAAGTTCATCAATAACAATAAAGACATAATCTTGAGGTGTGGACAATCCTATGTCGCACCAAAGAGAACTTTTCAAGCCCCACATCCTTACCCCCACTTGCATATTCCATGACTAGATAGAGGGTCTTCTCTGTTTCAATAACTTCAAACAATTTTACTGAAAAAGAAATTAGAAATATACTTCTGTAATTGTTAGCATGTATTGGTTATATTTTTTAAAAAACATGTTTTAATTGATTTCAGAGAGAGTAAGGGAGGAGAAATAGAAACATCAATCAGCTGCCTCTTGCACACCCCTACTGGGGAATGAGCCCACAATATTAACTGAGAATCAAACCAGCTACCTCCTGGTTCATGGGTCTTTGCTCAACCACTGAGTCACAATGGCATGGCTGGGTATGTTTCAATAAAATGTAAGGTAACACTAAGCCACTGGAAAATTTGAATATTTATTAAAGAATATTAATTACAATTTAAAATTTTAAAATTCTCTTAAGGATTATTACTATTGTGGAAGAACAGTATTTACCATAAAGAGGTAGGTAAAAAAAAAAGTTAAGTTTCCAGCATTAAAGAACCAATACCTTTTCTAATTAGAATAAGGTAATGAAAAGCACCATTTTAAAATCATAATAAAAATTTTTTTTACAATAATAAATTTTAACTAAAACTTTAAAAGAGACTATGTTATAATGGGCCTATCATAAAACATTAAATATTCTTTAGTACAGAAAAAAGAAAAATCCTATAAATATGTGATACTATAAAAGTTTATGGTTAAAAAACTACTAAATTATCAGATTTATGTAGTTGAAATTATACACCACAATTTCTAATAAACATAAATTTTTTTTAATGTGCAATAAACAAGTGTTTTAAAACAAATTAAAAAAAGAATTGCTTTCTACTTCTTAAAATCTAATAACTTCATGTAATACATGCAAGCAATACACTTATTTGTAAATATGGGGGAAACCCAGAATTTATGGAAATAAATCCACTAAAACTGAAATCAGCTCTAGTTTTTAATTCAAATTAATTATTTTGCCTATAAATTATAAGAAAATTATAATGCATATTATCAAATTATCTGGAATTTATTTTTTATAAATATCTAAATGGCATGTAATCTCTCTTTAGAGAGACTGAGTACAGAGGTACAAAAAAAAATGTGCTATATATGGATCAACTCCCAGTCATATCCCTCATTGTAGGGGAAAGCAGAAGACAGCAAGGTAGTAACAAGCAGTAGCCTTCAGCTAACTTCTTCATAATCTATTTTTACCCAAAGTATTACTTTCTCAGGTCATGCTCAGGTTTCTAGTTATCACCTTTCTTCTATTTCTATAAAACACCCTTAAAATTATATCTTTCAAATACGCTCAAATGAAAGAAAACACTTCATTATTCATGTATAAATTACATACCTATGTTAGGGTGATTCAATATCTTCATTATTCGTACTTCTCGAAACAACTGTCAAAGAAAACAGGTGGACACACTCCTGTTAGAAAAGAACACTTAAGCGGAGAATCAAAGAAACTCATCTGTTTACAACGCACCACAGGATCCTGGTAATGAACTAAGAAGCTATTTGTTTCTGATCCCATCTCTAACTCTGCTGAGACTTGGTTTCCAGGACAACTTTTATTTATTTTTTAATCCTTACCCAAAATATTTCTTCCATTGATTTTTAGAGAGAGTGGGAGGGTGGGGATGAGACACAGAGAAAGAGAAACATCCGTGTGAGAGAGACACGTTAATTGATTGCCTCCCGCATGTGCTCCGACCAGGTACAAGCCCTTGACTAGGAATCTAACCTGGGACCCTTCAGTGCATGGGCCAACACTCTACCCATTGAGCAACATCAGTCAGGGCACAGACCTAAATTTATAATTTAATGTTAGAATCAGCAGGTGTAATTAAATACACATTATTAAACATTTCTTATAAGATTCTCTCTGTTTTAGGAATCCAAAGTTAATTATGTGACACTTACTAGTACATATATGACTGTGATCCTATCTATTCAAATAAAAATCACAATGGATATTATCACTATACAAAATGAACATATATATATGGCAGAAATGTTAAAATATCTGCTTCATTTTCAAAGTACACATTTTTAAAATGTGCATATGACCAAGTTTCCCACATAAGCAAGTATTATAATAAAGCAACATGAAACAGCTACCAGGTTTAAGGGCAATCCCCATGCTAACTGCTTTTAATTCCTCCCCTATTCCCGTTTTCTTATATCTCAACTTTTTGAAGAAATATTCATATCTTCTCCTGTAAGTTATCAGAAACATTAGTTCTTGTAGAAGAAGGAAGAAAAGCAAGTGAAGTTATATAAAAGGAAACCCACTTATGGAGAATATTAACTCATCCATAGATGTTTAATCAAGCAGAATCCTGAATACTTCAAATATTTTAAACCAAGTCTTATTCTACTGAATTAAATAACTTCCTTTTATATGGTACATGCATCTGAGTAATAGATATTTTTCAAACTACTTCAAAAATATTATTTAAATATGAATATGTTTTACATCATGTCTCTTCTTCATAGATTGATGAAATGCAATATTGCACCTAGTTGAAAATTTAGGACAGCTGGCTTTACAGAACTCATATATTAATTAGGAAACTCACATTCTAATTACTATCAAAATGATTACAGACCTTTTGTAGACTGGTAGGATTTAGCTGAGTTTTATCTATTATTTTCACAGCAACCTAAAAAAGAGAATCATTAAACTGTATTTGAGAATACATATTTTAATGAATAAAATCTTAGAAAGAAAACATCTGTTCTTTCATTTCTAACTAGAAATCATTTAGTGTTCATATAATTGGATGGCAAAGTTTTGATATTATGGTAGCCTTACAATATATACCATTGACCCACATCTTTAACCCATTTGATTGAGTCAATGAAATTACACTTGCGGTATTACTTCCAAGTTTCCTCTTTAAAAATAAGAATCCTCTAAATCTTAATCTTTTACTCATGATCTTGGTAAGTTACAAATATCAGAGGGGACGGGGTTATAAACTTTCAGTAACGTAAGTATTGTGTGGATAAATGACGAGGTGAGTAGAGAAACTGGCCGCCCAACCTTAGTGATAGCAGACCCGCGAAGTAGATCTGAATGTCCTCTAAGTCTCTCCCTAATGTAGACTGTACTTGAACAGCTTATGGGGTCAGAATGGACAGGGAGGACTAAATTCACCTGGAAGTGACAATAATACTAGGCACAGAGCAAAATTAAAATGTATCAAAAACAGTTTATGACTGAGATTTCTCACAATGTCCTCATCGGATCCGGTAAATATTATGGTATATAGAATGTTAGATATTTAACTATTTTCGACCTTTAACATAGAAATTACTAAAGACATTAATATTAACAATAATTATTAAATATGTACAATTTTTCTATATAAATACACATAACTTAAAGCACATGGAATTTTAGAAACCCAATTTTCTTGTAAAACATCTGTATAACAACACTTGTTTAATGTGGTCTCTAAGTAGATAAAAATGAGTGAGTTACTTTCTACACATTTATGCCCAATGTTTAATAAAAGACTTTATCCTAGCCTTGTAACTAAGGTTGGGTAGCAATCTGAAAGACAGAAGTCTGAGAAAAGCTCATTTGCACCAGACTCCCTCTCTGAGATGCTAAAATGTAGGTATGTTTCTATTCTGAACGTTCAAGGTCAACGTTGCATGCCATGATACAGCTCTGCTCGGCACGTCCCGTTCACACATATCCCGTACCACAACTGTCATGAATTCCCAGCAGCAGCTCTGAGGACGCTTTTCAACGAGACTTTGGAGAGGTAAATGTTCTAATCCATATTAAAAAGACATCTGAAGGACTTACCTCTCTCCCCGTTAGGACATGCCTTGCCAATTTCACTTTGGCAAAGTTCCCCTTCCCTATTGTTTTTTGTAAACGATAATTCCCAATGTGAGGCTGTTCGTCTGTGGCGGACGTAATGGAGTTTCTACACCGAGGGATGTTCTGTCTGCTACTCGATTTGGTAGGCTGGACGTGAGGTTCAGTATATCCATCCACAGATGTATGCTAAGAAAAAGGTTACAAGAGGTCAATGTTAATTCAATTTAAAAAAGGGCAGTTCAAAACACTGTAAATAATTTTCATTAATGGCTCATCTTCAATGAAAATACATCGCACTACACAAGTTTGAAGTTTGGGTTCTATTTATAATTTCTACGGCACTGGAGCTCCTTTTGCCAGAGGGAACATGACTATTTAAAATGAAGTGTTCTGCACAGCTCCAGGCATATGCTTATGATTTAAAAATACAAATGGTTAAGGTAGATAGGAGCCCTACAGGCTATTACTCCTTTAAGGGTGTTATCTGTTTAGCTGAAATGACATCATAGTCTAGAACTGCTTTATTAAAATGTCTTCAATGCCAAGACAAACAACCTCCTGAGCATGGTTCTATTTCTCGAAACCTGTCATGTTCACACTTTGATTTGCTGGAGGTAGAACTCAGCCAGCTGACCGATCAGCTCCGGGCTTCTGGTATACCTCTAGTCAATTCTTGCCCAATTCTCTTCTCAGCTTACCATTCCCAAGAACTACTGAAAGCCCTGCTTGCCTCCAGGACCTAGTGTCCACTCATTCATCCTTATGCTGTTCTTGGGACAAAGATGTCATCTTGACTCACACTAGACTACAACTGCAATGACGAGCAAACCTTGTTCACCTGCACGTTCTGCACGTGAGCATCCAGGTAGAGCTGCCTAACAGACCTTTTTCACCAGCTCTGATTGTTCCTGCCCTTGTCTAGTTCTGTCTACATGCCTGCATATATAAAATTCCTAGCTGTTTTTGTGAAAACATTGAATCACAGATAAATGCAACATCGTTTCCCCATTAGCTTCTTAAAAATAGCTGAAGATGAGCAAGACACATTAGCAAAAGAAGAGGATATCATTCATTTGTAAAGTAAGCCAGATTTATGTTGACTTACGTGATGAAAACTTGACTAAAAATTTTTTATCAGAAATGTCTTAAAGGTAGCCTTAAAGATGACTCCACTTCCTGGTCTCATGCAAGGTCTGACTCAAGGTTAGTCCTTTTTGTCTGTTACTACTTTCTGATTTTTAAAAATCTCTGCTCAAGATTAAATAAGGTATACAACCAGAAGGCCAAGTTAATAATAATAATAAAAAAAACCCACATACACACACAAAAAAAACACACCACACAAAACAATTTACTATCATCTCAGTTTGAAAAACATAGTAGCACTGAGTGGTAAGTCATAAAAACAGAAACAAGAATATCCTATCAACACTCATTCAACATTATTAATGTGCTAGATAGACCAGCCATGCTTTTTAAGATATATATATATATAATCTTTTCACCACTGGCATAAATATAAGCCTAGAAAATGCAAGTAAATCAATATAATCTCTTGGAAGCACTAGAGTTTAACAGAGTTACCAGAGAGAGGAAACATCCTTAATAATCAATTACATTTGGAAAGAATCCTTTGGTGAACTCTTAACTCATACTTTCAAATTCAGCTTAGACATTACAGCCCAGGAAAAGCCATCCATCATATCAGAGCTTCTGTTCCTCTCTCAGCTAAGCTGGGTTCCATGTCCATTTTTGGTCTTTCTATAGTTACTTCTGGCAATGCATAGCTCCCAATTATTAAATTAATTTTATTAAAATGACATATGCACAAGGTAAAAAATGTCAGTAATTCTAACAGACTGTTATCAAAAGCTATCAGTCTGCTGTACCACCCGCTTGCTCTCCAGAGTCTTTTCCTTTAGCCTTCTCTTCTCCTATTTGGTAATTCTTGGTTCATCACTCTTAGACATCCTCTCAATTTCCTACTATGGCTAATTATGATCTTTTTGCCCCCTGCCCCGCATCTCATCTTCCTAATGTCATATAATCAAATTTTCAGTCAAAAACTATTGTGTTTATGTAATTATGACTTATAAATACCAACTCACTGAAAGCCAAGCTTGTGGTACAAAGAACACACAATGAAACTCACCAAATTTCTATATACAAGATGAGCCGTGACAAATGTGTAAAGCCATGAAACAGGACCACAGTGTAAATGTACGAAACATTTCATCATGTCAAAAAGTTCCCTGTGCCCCATTGCTGTCAAGGCCCTCCTCGGATACCATACTTTTGCTTTTCTAGGACATTAGGTCAGTAGATCACACCACAAAGAGTTGAACCTGTTGCGTTCACTATAATTCCTGGCATGCTTACTTATATCTGCATATTGTTTTGTGTTTTCTCTTTTCCTTAGCTTTTCTATATTCATTAGATTTCCTTTTTTCTCCTCTACTGTATTGGGAGTTCTACTTCCAGTGTCTACTCTATTGGCATTTATTTTAAAATTTTAAGGGTAAAAGTCAAGGTGAGGTGGGTTATGGGAAATGAGGTAGTGAGGGCAGATGATGCCCCTGAAAAGTGTGACTAGAGGCACCCCAGTGAGAGGGGCGCAGCCGGGGGAGGTTACTGTCTATTGGCTTGTTTTGAGATGGGAGAGACTTGAGCATGTTGAAATCCCGAGGGAAGGATCCAGTGGAGAGAGAGAAGCAGCTGAGACGAGGGAGGGAAAAGATAAGTCAAGTTCCTGGGAAGGTGAAAGTGAGAAGAGGCAGAGCACAGATGGAGCGATGGCCCTTCTGTGGGAAGAAAGACATCTCTTCTCCCGTAACAAGCAGAAAGGAAGAGAAATCAGGTCTAGATGCAGAAGAGTACGAACACTTGATAGTAGGAAGTTGAGGGAGTTCCGATCTGATGGCTCTTAACTTTCTCTGTGTGGCTGGAGGTAAGGTCACCTCCTAAGAGTGAAGGGAGGCCACAGGTTTGCAGAGAGTAGAAGAGGTTTGAGAGAATCTCTGCAGAGGAAAAGTGCATTAATCAAAGAAGCCTAGTAGGGCAGCTCTGGGCAGTACTAACGGTCTAGTTGACATTGATGACCACAAATTTATTGTGGCCTGTCCATGGTTGTACCATTTTCAGTGTATCATTTTCAGTTGTACCATTTGAGCGTCAGCAACACTCAAAAGCACATAGCAAGGGCAAAGGAAGCAGATATATGAGTTCATCCTGGTCTGGGGTTTGCCAAACAGATACCAACAAAGAGAATGGAGCGAGATGAGTTAGGTTATTGGCGAGTTATTCAAATGATGGGTTATGAAATGTAAACAGGAGAATGAAAGAAATAAAGACAAAAAGTGTTGATGGATAGAGAGCATTAGAGGCCAATATGCTGGAAGGCCTACAGGTTTAAAGGTTCATACTCACAGAATAATTTCATTGCATTGAAATCAGAGAATGATCACAGCAAGACAAGCTAAGACAGCGTGGTACCTGGCCCAATATTTGTGGTCAGAGATATGGGTGATGGGATTAATACTACCAGCATAGGATGTTCTGTTACTATCACCAAGAATTGTTCTGCATTTTTAATCAGATTTGTAAAACATGCCTATTCTATTTCTTAAAATGTTTTAAAGAATACCATTAAACCACATAGCCACGTGATTAGAAATTATTTTAATTATAATTTTCACTGGTTACATTATTCACCATAGTTTCCTACATCCCTGCGTTTCCCTCTTTTAGATTCACTTGTTCTAGTTTGAGAAATTTTGTCAAGTAGGTGTGTGTGGTTTAGGTGATATACTTTCTAAAGCATTGCAACTAATTTTTCTTTAACGTCACATATAAACAATAAGTCACTTGGTTCCAGAACAAGGACAAAGGAGTGTTTTCCTACTTATTTCTGGATTTGTTCCAGATGGTTGAATTTTTTAGAATCATGACGTAGTGAAAATCACCACAATTAAACTGTGACTCATGCATGACAAAACAATAAAAGAGAGAGTGAGTTTTGTAGAATTTCCAGGTGATAAAATTTTTACAGACGTTTATCTAAGGAATAGACCCAACTACAAAGGAGAATTAGTGATAGGTCAATATCCATGTTGTTAACATCTCATATCAATGGGGAAATGATAAATTATTCCACAAATGGTTTTGTAACAACTAGAAAAATATGGAGTTGGATCTCTAGGTTCCTGTATTACTCCTTACAAAAAATTAATTCTCAAATAGTTAAGAATATTAATGTAAAAAAAAATTCAAAAACTAAGAAGCCATAAAAGAGGCACTAGAAAAATAAATGACAGGGTGGCAGCTATTTTTATAGTCTCAGCATGGGAAATACTGAACACTTCAACGAGTCAAGACCATGGATGAGTTTACCCGAGCAAGTCGCTAAAATAAAGGTCTGTGGTTATTCTTATCGGGATATCGGTGGCTCCCATAGGGACCGCACTAGTGTAGCATCTTCTGAAATCAGGTGTCAGCTGCCTAGAGACATCACAGGCTCCAAGTGACGGTCACTGCTGAGAAAACTGGCCATCCATGCGACAGTGAGAACGCAATGGAAAATTTTCTGATGGATGCGATTTAAGTGTACTAAATTTCCCCTTAAGTTATATTCATTTTTCATACCTATCACTCCATTCTGAATGCAAGAGCCAGTGCAAACAATGCCTCGCTGAGATAGGAAAGCAGAAAGTACACTTTTGCATAAAAATAGGTAGCTTTGTACTGTGCTAAATTATAAACAGAATTCACCTCTCTCAAAAATAAAATAAAATAAAAATGAGACAAAGGAGACAATCTCATCTTCTAAAGAACAGAATGAAAATGAAATTATGTTGAATTATTTCCTCTTTGGAATTTGAATAAACTCTCTTAGGTGAAAAAATATTATTTCAGGAGTAAGATGGAACCGCTACACTTCAACATGACCTTGTTTAGTTTAACAAATAATCATGAGAACCGACAACTGCTGAGGAATAAGCATGATTGCAAGAAATGACCCTAACTATGAAAGGTTAGAAGGAAAAACGAATACACAGTTTTGACACGAAATGGTATTTGATGGGAGGTGTACACAGATGCTGTTTTTCTGTCAGCTGGACCTGTTTTCCCAACATTAGACACTTCTCCTGAGTTGTAGTTCCGTAGATCTTTTACCCACCATGGACCAT